GTCGGTATATAGGTAGTCTACGTTGTCTACTAGTTGTATACTAAGCTTGTTTTCGAGGGTAGTTATAAAGTGATTATACTAGAGCCGAGGAGACTCCTATAGCCTATACAATGCCTAAAGCAGGCGCAGTACCTTGCCCTTCTATGCAAATCCTTCTAGTAGTCTTAGATATAGTATATAGGGCAGTATAGCGTTAAGAAATGCATTTACTGCATCTATCTGCTTAGCCTCTAGATTAAACTTTGCAATAATAGCTATTAGGGCTCTAAATACTCTTACTACGAGGGTTGACGCATAGGTATCTAGGTATATGCCCTTCTATAGGTCTCCTCTTATATAGACTCTTGCTTTGAACTTTACTAGCCGTCTATTCGCATTACCCTTGTATTTAAATACCTAGGTAAGAGGAAGAAGGTTAGGCTTGTCTAGTATATTAATATCGACCTATTCAAATGTTCCTATTTTAAGCGCCTTATTAAACTTAACTATTGTAGCGTATATCTAATACTCTTTAAACTTGCTCTTAAGTACCTGTCGCTAGTTACGTAGCTCTGCTAGTAGGTCCGAGACCTTTAGTATAAGATTTAGATTATGTTCGTCGCGTAGAAGTAGTAGTAGTTCTAATAAAGGTAAGTTAGGTAGGTTATTAGATCGAGTAGGCTATACGAGGCGCGCTTTATACTCGGCGGCTATATAGAGGTTACTAAATAATAGAAGGTGCTTTGCTTGTTCTCGATTGCTAATATTATAGCGAATCGCGGCTACTCGTTGTCGCTTGTTTAGATAGTTAATACGGTAGTGCGGTCTACCTAGATTTAGTAAGTAACGATAAGATATATTAGCGGCTTTAATTAGTATTAGCAATTTAGCTAGCTTAGTACGTAGCAAGTTAAAGTCTATATTATCTATATAACCTAGTACGTCTACATTGTTAGTAGGGGCTTTATCGCTAGCATCGTTCTTAGGGGATCTTTATTAGACTAATCTATTTAATATATTATTATAAGGTAGCTAAGTATTGCTTAGTTTAACTAGAAAGTCTTGTTACTAGATAGGCTATTGCTTCGGCACTAGACTAAGTTGTTTAACTAGTAGCGGCATTGTTAGTATTCCTTAGACTAGATCTGCTAGCCCTATAGAGTCGACAATTATTAGTCTTCTAGGTCCTAGTAGTGTATCTACCCCCTTAGTTCTAAACCGTACGAGGTCTAGGGGTATGTTACATACTTCTCGAAGGTTATTAAATTAATACTCCGAGGCGGTTGTTTGTAGTTCTTCGAGATTACTAAACTAAGTTAGCTCTTAGTTAGTAAGGTTAACTCTAAGATTATTATTATATCTATTATAGAACAGGGTTTCGTTAAAGATAACATCCCTCGTCCGTAGGACTATTATACGTAATAGTACCTAGATCCTATAGATAGAATAGCCTTTATAACTATACAAGTATCTAATATAAGTACGTAAAGCTACTTTTATCGTTCTTAGTAGGATATCCTTTCGTTTATATAATGCTAGGTCTGTCTCCGTGCTATAGATTAGTAGATAGGCTCGTATACTAAATTGATATATATAGGCTATATTAGGCTTATATCTAGTTCTAATCTTATATAGAGTCCTTATTGCGTAGTCGGTAGAGCGTAACCTTAGTAAGCGGTTAATTAAGAAGGTTGCTATATAAACTCCTTCTAGCTATAGCTTGTATAGAAAGCGTGCATGTATTATAAGGGCCCTAGCTACTTCAATAATAGTGCGGCCTACTCGCTCTACTAGGTCTTACTTAGGGGTGTATAGTGCTAATAGCCTCTAGGTAGTATAGTTATTGCGTAAATAAGACCGAAAGCGTATTCTACTAATAGCCCCTTTATTGTCGGATAACAGATAGATAATATCCCTACTAATACTGCGTATAAATAATGCTAGTTAGCTCTAGTATTATAGCAAGGTTAATTTAGTTCAATTATTAATCGTCTAGCTAAAATAAAGTCCTATATTCAAGTCGTAGGCATAGAATAGGTACCTATTACTATTATAGGCCGTATCTAGTTCTATTAGATTAGCGGCAATATAACTATATAGAGTAAGGATAGAGACATCGTACTTTCGTAGCCTTCTAGAAATAAGCTTCTTGCCCTTAGCCTAAGTATATACTAGACATAGTAGTATCCTTAGTACTTTAGTATCGTATAAGAGGTCCCGTATTATTCTATTAACCCGATTAGCTAGCTCTTTAGCACGTTCTGCACTTAGGTGCCTAAACACCTTATATATCTTCTTAAGTGTAAGCTATCTCGGTAGTAGTAGGTATATAGAGCGTCGTATAGTAAAGTTAGCCCGTATTAGTTAGAAGAACGGATAACTTCGTAGTCGGCCTTTATCGTCGCTTAGCTATATCTTAGGTAGTAGGTTGTTATTAACTTTGCTTTCTATATCGAAGTAGGGCATATTATTGTCTAGTCTAACGAACTTAACTAGTAGTTTTCCTTAAGGGTTGTATAGTATATTATCTATCTCCTAATACCTAAACCCCTTATAATAGAATAGTATCCTACTAACAATATTAGTATAAAAGTTAGGGATATAGAGGCATTCCTTTAGTTCGATCTCTAAGGCACTTCCGCTAGTACTCTTTACTGTAAATAATACTATTCTAATAGCGACGACTCGATTGTACGTAGTGCTAGTAGCTACGGTTGCCTATAGCGGAAGGAAGAGCGCTTTAAAGTTAAATCGACTAGGGTAGTTAATAATATTACAGTTTAAGCCACTATTATATATTAGTACGTTAAATAGGTTCTATTTGCCTTTGTATACGATTATTAACATGTAGGTAGTTAGATTAGCCGCTAGTAAAGCTAATAGAGGTGCTAGTAAAGGATTGTAGAAGCAGGCTACTAAGAGCTTGCCTAATCTATTACCTATACTAGCATTATCCTTATTACGGCCCTCGTAGTGTTATTGCTTAGCAATCTTAATAGCTAGGGGATCTTTATAGAACTTAGCTTGTCTTAAGTAGAAGTCCTTATTACGGCGAAGATAGCCTTTATAGAACTTCAGCTTGCTACGCTACTAGGCGTCTTTGTCCTTCTCTTCTACTTTGTTACGTAGCCGGTAGTTAACTACTAAGCACTTGCTACGATTCTTACATACCTTCCTCTTACTAAGGCTAGTGAGTTTAGCATATAATTTAGGCGTACGGCGCTTATCTTTGTTCTTGTCTTTAATAGCATTGCTAGTAGTACCTTATAGTGTAGCATTCGTAGAGCCTTAAAGTGTTACGTTAGAATTGCCGTCTTCTTTATAGATTACGCTAAAGGAAGAGCCCTTTCGAGTCGTTAAGGTACTAGCTATATTCCGAGCGTAATCTCGTATTATGCTAATTAGTTAGTAGAAGTTGTTAACTATTAGCCCTGCCTAATATATTATATAGAGCCCCTTGCCGTAGGTCTTATCTACATTCGTAACTGCAGTATATAGGTAGGTTACTAGGTTGTTAAATTCCGGGTATTGTATACGCTTTATAGTTTTGTATAGGTTAAGCTATTCTTTACACTAGTGCTCGGGGTCCTTTACCTGCTTAGAGTTTATAAGACGTTATAGTTCCTTACTAAGAGTAGTTCTTTACTACTACGTATTAGGTACGAGCTTGTCCTTTAATCGAGTTAGGATAAGACGCATTGTTAGTGCTATATTCTCCCTATTAGGATTAGTAATCTCTAAGTAATAACGAATGTCTATAGTTATAGCTAGGTACTCGATTGTCTTATTACGCGCTATTCTAAACCGCTTAAATTCCGTCTTCCTTATATTAAAATGTTCCTTAGTAAGCTTTGTACTAGCCTAATATAGGGGGTTAGTTATAAGCTACTCTATATCGAATTCCGGGAGAAGGGGTTGTACTAGTTTAGTAGGCTTAGTCGAGTAAGGGTTAGTAAAGACCTAGGTCTTATATCTAGTTAGGTACGTCTTAGTTTATTTAAACTATCGATCCTATTCGTTAGGTCTACGAAGGATAATAAGCTTACTACTACTAAGACGATTAGCTAATAAGAGGGCTATTACTAATAATATACTAGCGTTACTTTAAAGCGATTATAGAGATTTAAATAGTTGTTTCTTAGTACTATTAAGACTATCGATTATTAAAGGTCTCGTAGAATAGAAAAATTCTTTCCTACTATAGAAGTCTCTAATACCGCGGATTAAATCCGGGCTTATAACTATTACGTATAGCGCAGTAGATTACTTACGTAATACTACATTGCCGGCGGTTAAATTAGCTTCGTTTATTGCCTATATCTTAGTCTATTCTATAGTCTAAAATACAGTGTAAAAATTCTTCATGCTAAGAGGTCACGTGTCTGTCATGTGATTGAGCTGACGCGTCACAGACGCTAGCATTCGGTTCTTGAAAGATAGTGTAAGACTCATCCATGTAACAAAGGAGCACTTCACCTATTGATAGAACCACTCGGAAGGCGGAGAATAGATGCACCGAGCTACGAAATATTCTAGCGGTGCGGGGAAATCTGCCAGCAGAAGACGACTCAACCATACTACACTACTACACTACGGCTATATGTGCTACGTCTACAACTTGCACGCCAGAAGGGCTCATCGTAACCACAATGACAAAGATTGCGCAACCATCTCGACGAGGTCTGGCCAACCTCAACTCAGGCGCTTTCATCGACCTCGAGGAGGAAATCGGTAAACTACCAGCATACGACCCTTCAAAATGTCCCAACGGCTTGATCGACCTGTCTGGTGCTGTCAACAAGTTGATGAAAGACGTCATGGGCGAAAAGATCAAAACTTTCGCCGCACAGTATGCTTTTGACGGAGGTCAGTAAGAGTTTGGGACTTGAACGCAAGCACTTACCCGTAGCTTGTAGCTGTGAATTATGGACCTGTGATGGGACCTTCGAGTGAGTAGGCAAGATTCTACGTCCGGACACTGGTAGAGGTAGGGAATTGATTATGACCCAATAGGTTTCATCGAAGCCGTTGCGCGCTTTATCAACCATGGATTCAAACCCGCCACTCCTGTTGACAGTAAGCAGATCCTGGTGACCAATGGAGCATCCTCGTCAATTGACCTCGTTGCCTTCAATCTGTGTGATCCCGGCGAAGGAGTCATCGTTCTAACACCGACGTACATGATGTTTAAACATGATCTTTGCGCACGGACAGGGATCGAGTTCATCGCAGTGTCGGCCGATGTAGATGATCAATTCAGCGCTAGATACGCTCCTCAGCTCGCCAAACTACTGGAAGGCGCTATCGTAGAGAGCCAGCGACGCGGAATACCAGTCAAAGCGCTCTTGGTCTGCAACCCTTGCAATCCTGTTGGACGCTGTTACTCCAAAACGACTCTGACCTACCTGGCTCGACTCTGCGGCAGTCACGGCATGCATCTTGTTTCCGATGAAATATATGCGATGTCTTGTTTTGCATCCCTCGAACCTGGCTTGGACGAGTTCTCATCGGTACTGAGCATTCCAGAAGACTTGAGTAATAATGTCCTGGCTGAGAACATCCACTGCATTTATGGAGCGAGCAAAGACTTCGGTGCCGGCGGTCTTCGATTGGGATTCTTCGTCACCCGCAACGAGCTCCTATGGAAGGTTTGCAGGCGACTGGCTTTGTTCACCTGGGTGACCTCTTTTTCGACGGCCTTCTTTGAGCATTTCCTATCCGATCAATGTGCAATGACCGCGTACCTTGACCTCTACCACGTGCGACTTCGAGCTCGATATCTTCAGGTTACCGAGCTCTTGCGCGAGCATGGTATCCCATTTGTGTCCGCCAACAGTGGCATCTTTCTGCTCGTCAAATTGACGAAATGGTTGGAGTTCTTGGACAGCTCGCATCCGAAACTGAGTCGGGAGGAACAGCTTTGCCGTCATCTGGCATACAATGGTGGCGTTTTCATGAGCCCGGGAGAGGTAAGATATGTTCAAGCCTTTCACACACACACTCCTTTGCCTATACTGAACTAATCCTTAATTGCCGTCAGCTGTCCAATTGTGAAGTTCCTGGATGCTTCAGGCTGACTTATACTGCCCATGATCTGAACGTGCTGTCCTTGGCGATAGCCCGACTTGCAAAATCTCTGGCTGATTTGTCAACGTTGGGACAGTGAGTCGGACGGTGAAGGATAGTACTGTAAAAAGTCCAAATTGTTCACAGATCCGTATGTCCCGTTGGCTCATAATGATATGCTTCCACAAGCCTCCTTGCTCTCGGCCAATACTCCACCACCATATGCTTGGAGGCTGTGTCGTCCGTGCGTGTAACGTGAAGAACCATATGAAGCCAGAGGTTATCTTTTGCTTGGTTGTACATGGAGGTGAACGGCATAGCAACAATGTCTCCATTCAGTAGACCTGCTTCTTGTGCTCGGGATCCTTTCACAAGTCCTGTGACAAGATGTGGATCAGAGAGCAATGACTTCTCGTCGAATCCTAGCTCGAAAGCAGGTACATCATGGCGCACGCGTTGCACTGAAAGTTCCGACTCCAAGGCATTGCTCGGAGGAATCAAAATGATGCCAGCCTCCATTTCTTCGATGTGCCGAAAAGCATTGTGACCTCTTGGACCTATCAAGTCGTTTACAAGGCTTGCAAAGTCTGTCACATTGTGTCTCCCGCCGCTTCGAGACATTCGCGATAGCGCAACTACGACATCATCGAGATTCTTTTTGTTCGATGTTGAACTCTTGATCAAGCCATTGAGTAGCAATCCAAATGCAAACCCTCGACCATATGGGACACGCTGCGCGTGAGAGCAATTCCACGTCAGCTTTGCAACGTTGGCCATGTCTTCGTTGACGAGTGGGTTGGTGTAATAGGCGGTCATTTTCTGATTGATCTCATGAAGATATTGTTCGGCCGAGAGCAAATTTGAGCGATAGCGCAAAAGAACCGAATAATAATCGGCAAGACCCTCGGTGTACCAATTCTCCGACACCTGTGCCCCTGGCAGGAGAACCCAGTTATGCGACATTTCGTGTGCGAGGATTTCTTCTCGCTGGTATTGCGTCAAGGGATAAGTCATTTCTGTATCGTCCCAGCCAAAAACGAAAGAGTTGGGGAGAGCCGTGCCGGTGAGCGAGCCATGCGCATTGTGGCGTAAGAATATGCGAAAGTCTTGGCCTGAGTCCTGGAAGAATGATATCATATAGACATAAAGATCCTTCAGGACTGTACTGAGGTGATCGATGTCAAATGGAGGTTCAGTAAACCAGTAAATGTTGAAAGCTGGCCCAGGGGCTTCATGGATTGCTTTCTGAAGTCGGCCAAACAGGAGGAAAGATTCTTGCAACTCTTCCATACTGAATTGGCCTTCTGTGGTACTAGACTTGTTGCCTGGACCTCGACTGGAAACAGCTGATACATCGGGATCAGCGCTCGAGAGGTCCCATTCAAGCGTGGTGCGAATGCGTGGCTCCTTAGGCATAAAGGGCAGGGCTATTATCCCATAACCAGAACCTATAGCTCCATGACCATCTCGTCGAAAGTCCAGTGCCGGTCCTGGTGGCGCATCTTCTTGCAGAGGACGTGGCAGAGCAGTATATGAGACGGTGACATTGCCGGCAGTGGTCCTTGTAGTTGTCCAGATTCGCTGTGTGCCCGCAGCCGATGTGACTAGGCGACTTGTCACGTTAATCTCGCCATGGTCGTCGTGGAAAGTCAGTCCATCGTTGGTAGTATGGCCCAGTGCTAGGTTGGCAATGGCTTCGAAAAGGGAGAATATGTCGGACGAGGCATCAAAGGTGAAGTTTGCGACGGTCTGTTGCACCTTCAAGGCCGCAGGATCGCCATAGCGATCAAAGGTGGGAGTGAGAAGGACGTGCCATATTGGCAGGATAGCAGAGTGATCTACAGCTTCGCATTGCAGACGACCGAGGAAGCAGAGGCAGCCGATTATGGCTGACAACGCGTAGGAATGAAAGCCACGCTGTAACATGTTATGTCGTTGCAACAATTATTAAGAAGATAGAAAAGTACATATAGCAGCTCCTTCTCGCCCCTGCCTGCCAACACGGCTGACTAATACTGCATCTGCCTAGTCTGATTCTTGAAAAGCCTAAACATGTGTTTAGTAAGCTTAAAGAGACCGGTCCCTCGAGACTAAACCGAGCCCTAGCTATCCGCCTAAGCCCTAGTATAACCCGAGATTACAAGATCGCCTATTTTATATAAAATCGCGTAGAAGTAGATAATCGCGTCGCTATAGTCCCTCCGACCGGGCAACTACTACTATATTACTACTAGTAGCTATTAAGCTAAAGTTTACTAGTAAATTAGTAGTATAGCAAAATTTAAGGTATTACTAGTTACTATCTATATAGGTCTAAGCGGATTACGACCTATAGCCTTATAACTATACGGTACTATATATACTAGCTTATATTAGTCTCTTAGTTACTAACTAGCCTACTACTATATATAATACTACTACTAAGTAAACTAATAGTACTATTACTATAGTACCTAGTAATAAAGTAGCTGCCCTATTAGCTATATAAGCGACTATTACTATTAGTACTAGTATTATTACTAAGTAGCCTATCGTTATTATTACTTATATAATACTACCTACTAGCGGCTCTAGCTAGCTTACTACTTCGCTCGCTCTTCTTCCGCCTATAAAGTATTATTTAAGCCCTATAGTACTTGTCCTATTCGAGCGGAGCGACGGCGTAGAGCTCGAGAACAAAGTTAGATTAGCGCCTATAGAGCGCGGAAGCGTATATTTAGCGTACAATGTTATAACAATAGCTATTGTTATTATAGTTGTTAGTAACGTAAAGTAGAAGGAATAGCCTTAGGCTCGATATACGTAATTGCGATTCGAATTATTAACTAATTATAGCGCGCGCTCTGTTTTGTAGGCGTATTTTTTAAATTTAGCCTCCCTCGAGGCCCTATACTACTATTGCTTATTTACTAACTATACCTACACGTATATGCAAATCTATACGTTATATAGTACTAATCTAATTTATTCTCGAGCTCTACGCTAGATTTACTAGATACCTTCTATAACTATTTACTCGCTTCGCTCGCTTAGGTTACTCTAGGTACCTATTAAATCTATCGCTCCGCTCGAATAAACGTTAGTTCTTACGTACTCGTAGGTCTTTAATCTCTTAGCAAAGTAGATCTAGCTTAGAACGTAGCTCCGGAGTAACTAGAAGTAATAATAAAGATACCTAACTCGTAGATTATAATAATTATTACTTAAAGCCGGCTAGATAGTAAGCGGAGCTATACGGTCGATTAGCCTTCTAGTAAGGGTATTACTAAGTACGTTATTAGCTCTTTAAGTACTTATAGTAATTAGTAACTATAGTATAAAGTTATATAAGAGATATACCTAGTTCTAAAATAAAGTCGACTATTCTAGCCGTTAGAGTCTTTCGCTTCCTAGCTACTATAATCCTATTTAAGTCGTCTAATTCTCGAGCCGTTACTATACGCTTTATAGTATATAGTATTACTCCGCTAGTAAGAGATATACGCTTACTAAAGATTACTTCCGGTTCTCGTAAATTATACGTTCTATAGAAGTTAATAAACTAGTGCTTATAGAAGTAGCTCGGTAATAGTATAGCGCGGCTTCTACCTATTTTAAGAAGCTTTACAATATCGTATTTACAGGAACAGCTACACGTCTTACGAAGGCAGTCGTTATAGTAGTATTATAAGTAGGGGTACGAGTACGCCGAGTACTTAGTCTCGTTGCCGTTATCGTTAGTCGTAGTCCGTAGAAGGTCGTTAGTACGTTAGTATAGATCCTTAGCCTCGAGAAGATAGTAGTTGTTTACAGCTCGAGAAACGCTCGCCTTAAATAGTCTAGTAAGTACTTTATTATAATTTCTTTTAGTTCTTAGTAAGGCGGATACGACGGCAATTATACCCTTTATTCTACTAATTAAGAAGGCTCTTAAATAACGTAAAGATATCGTAGCGGCTACTATACTTAAGCTAGGCTTTAATACGTCTATATATAGCTTTAACTCGCAAGGTTGTTTTATAGCTAAAGTATAGAACTTCGTTAGTCTAGTAGTCGATAATATAAGTCTTATAGTACTACTAGTTATTATTAAGATAGGCCTTAAATATAGGATAGACCGTAACGTTATCTAGTTTCTAAGTGTTCTCGTTAAGCTCGGCTTTAGTTTAACTATAGATAGTATAAGCGAATAACCGTAGAGACTTACTAGTTTAAGGACTATTAGTCTAAGAGCCGTCGGTACCCTTTACCTAACTAAATTCGCTACGCTCCTTATAGATACGAGTTAATATATCTTACTATAGATACTAGTCGTAGACGATATTTAATAAGCCTAGATAGATCTCTCTACTTGCTAGTATTAAGGCGACTTCTTAATTAGTAGTAATAACGAGAGATAGCGGATAACTAGCCTATTCGAGACCCTTCCGTAGTAACTATAATAAAGTAGCAAAATCGGCTTAATTAGACTTTAGTTAAATAAGTCTAACGCCGAGCTTAATAGTATTATTTATTAGTCTAGTAGCGATAATATCTCGAAGCTTAAGATTATAGATATTAGTTAAATACGTCGTATTAATAATAAGGGTATATAGCGTATTCTTAAAGGCCTCGAGTAGCTTAGGGTAGAGCGTAACTATACTTTAAATAGTATCGTTCTTAGGGTTCTCGTAAATATTATAGAAGATACTATTTTCGTTTAATAACTTAACTATACGCTATATCTACTATTAAGCGTCTATATTATAAGCCTATACGATATTCCGTATATCCTTTAGCTTAAGAATAATATTATAATACTATAGCCGCGGAAGTAGGCTATAATCTTCGCGATTAGTATACGAGACTACTATAAGCGCTACTACGCTCTAGTTATTCTAGGAACTCTACGGATCTTAAGCGGCGCCTATATATAGCAAGGGCGACGATATCGTCCTTCTTGTAGTTACAGAACTAGTAATCTTCTTTAGTAGAATACCGAATAACCTATTAACCTTTAGGCTAGCTTAGGTCGATAGTAATAGTATAGAAGTAGAATTTATACCCTATTTTCTTTAAGGTTAAATTCCGCTTTATTACTTCCTTCTAGATACGCTTATCTAGTAAGCTAAAACAACTACATACCTAGCAGTAGCGATACTTAATACTATTCTTATTCTTCTACGGCTTATACTACTTAAACTCGTACCTAGTCGCCTTTCCGAAGATATAGATATACGACTTAAGAGCTCGATAAAACGGAAACTACGACTCGCGCGGTATTAGACTATAAGGGCGCTCCTTTAGTAAGAATAGATACTTCTAAGAACGTACTATTAATACTAATCGATATTTAGGAAGCGATATACGTTCTCGAAGTACGTTTAGTAAGCGACTATAACCTCGAATACGTATTTCCTATAACTTAATAACTACCGCTACTATTTCTACCTCTTCCTATAACTTTATAACTACCGCCGAAAGCGCGCCTTCTACCGCTATTTATACCTCTTCCTACGACTTAATAACTACTGCCGAGAGCGCGCCTTCTGCCGCTATTTCTACTACTATTTCTATCTCTGCCTATAACTAAATAACTACTACCGCTACTATATTATTACTATCGCTAGTAATAACTTTATCGAGAAACTTATCGTATAATAGGAATTTAGCTATTTTTAGTAGTTACTAGGCAATCTACTATAAAAGGGAGAAGAAATACGAACTTTAGGTCTATAGTAGAATTTATAATATAATTTCTTAGATAATACGCTACGCGCCTATTAATAATACTAACTAGGAATAGAAATAGCCTATATTAGGCGGAAAGAGTACGTAATTTAATATAGAGGCGATTCTATAAGAGTGCTAGCACCGGGTTATACTAGGGCTCGGGCGGGTAGCTAGGGGCCAGGGCTCGGTTTAGTCTCGAGGAGACCGGTTATATAAGCAGGATCCTGTATGCGTACGAAGCTCTGGCTAACTATATCATTGCTTGACTACTGCGAGCATGCTTTTCTACACCGATCTCAGAATATTTTTCCTGCTCCACATCACTGCTGGATCGGCTTCACCTCTTTCGCAGCAACCTCTTCTCGGCAGCACCGTCGACCCCTTCCCGGTATACTGGCAAAACGACACCGTCTGCGCCGCAAACTCTTCGCATTTCGTAGGAACAGTTCCGGTCGCTCAGAGCAGAGGGCTCTTCTTCTGTACGCGTTGAACCCCATGACTCCATCGGCCAAAGTTCGCCCTGCTGACACGCCTCGGCGCCAGGGTTTGTGGAGAGTCGAGATGATCCGATTGCAAGTCCTACAATCATCTGGTTGAATGGGTATGCACGACGCTCTTCAACATCCGCAGTGCTTGAGCTGAGCTGACGGCTGCGTGCGTGGTGGGAAGCGGTCCTGGTGCGAGCTCGCTGGTCGGGCTGTTCGAAGAGATAGGACCATGCCGAATGTCGACCCTGAGCGAGACGCTTCCCAATCCTCACAGCTGGTCAGAATATGCCAATCTGCTGTTCCTAGAGTGAGTGACCCGAGCTCTTCCCTACTCCTGTGAGCACTCTCGTGAGGACTCGTCCGCTGAACTTTGGACATGGTAGCCAGCCTTCTGGAACAGGACTCTCGGCTTCCTCGTCTCCTGTAACAACCTTGCATACGGCCAGTCTCGACTTTTCAACCTTCGTGAAGCGCTTCACGCGACAGTACCCTCAATACTTCGCCAAAGGCCTCTTCATCGCCGGCGAGTCCTTTGGTGGAATTTATGTGCCGAGGTTCACCTCCGACATTGTCCAGGAGCAGCTCAGCTTCCGCGAAGGGGCGCTTGAAGTTCCAATCCATGGCATCATCTTGGTAGACGCCCTGGTCGATGGCGCTTCCTCGCCCCTCGGTCATTATGAGATGTTCTGCACAGGTGAAGCCGAGTTTCCCGTCCACTTCAACCAGAGTACGTGCGATGCTATTGCGATGGCGATGCCAGAAGCCGAGCGCTTGCAGCATTTATGTCAAAGTACCCAAGATCCTTACGTGTGCTCGACAAGTCACGAATTTGGTCTGAACAACATCTATCGCTATTTACAAGAACAAGAGGTGGATACACGTCGACGGAGTCCTTACGATCGTAAGTTGTTCATCGCGGTTTCGCCAGAGACATGGGAAATACAGTATCTCCACTGACATGTCAAGTACAGTTCGTCTCCCGTGTGGCGAAGACCGATTCTGCATCCCAAAGTCCCCAATTTCCATCGAGCATCATCTGAATCGTCCCGAAATCCAACGTCGGCTCGGACTACGCCAGCCCGTGGAGTATGTTTCAATCAACTTCTCGCTAAATGCTGCGTTTACCGCACATCCAGAAAACTTGATCCCGACAACAAGAGAAGTCACATTTCTTCTTGACGAGGGGGAACTCTCGGTGCTTGTCATGAATGGCAATTTTGACGCTGTCATGTAAGTCATGCGCATCCATCCACCCAGGTTCCTCCCCAAGGCAGGAGGACTTGTTTGACGATATTGTAGCACGACGCCTGGTGTATTTCGTGAGTATACAGAGCTGCCATGGAAAGAGAACATCAAGTTCCGCCTTCAGCCGCGCGAGTCATGGAGATATATGGAAAGCCGATCGGGTAGACATCGCGTCGGAGGGGAAAGAAAAGGGACTGGGCGACTGCAAGTTTTCGGCATTGACGATGCAGGGCACATGTCTCCGGGCGACCAGAAGGAAGCTGTCTCGTCGATTGTGAGAAAATGGCTGAGATCGTGATTGTAGGCCCAGAATGTCACATGTAGCAACGGCGCTCTCGACGTGACGAATACGGACGCCAAACTATTCCGGCAGTGAGAACATCTCAATCGTCTTGTCGTTTGCTCGCTCGCTTCATCTGATCAGCTGTGCTCGTCTGAAGACCTCCAGAGTCCAGAACGACCAAGTCCAGATCCATGAACAGCCAGTCGCTAGATTTGCTCGACCCCAACCCGAGAGATTACCAAAATCTTCGGAGCCTTTGATGCAACGGAGCTGGACAGGGTCAAACAGGCCAAGTGCCATTGATAAAGAGCAAGCGAAGCTGTAGCACTCAGCACTTGAATCTTTCCTGCAAGGTATAGAGGGGAGAGGCCAGACTTGAACACAAGCTGACTCTCTTGCGCTCGAAGACACATCACTTCTTCATTGATCGCAATGGATCATCTCAAAGCCCTCCGTTGATTGCCAAACCCATCAGACTCCTGGAGAAAATTTGCTGCACCATCACGATCTTGAAAGAACGGTTCATGTTGACTGAAAGTAAGAATTGCAGCTACATCTGGGAGATGTACACAGACCTGCCGTGCCGAAAAACACATATCGATGTGCCACCGATCTGACGCGCAAGGCTTGCTTGTCAAACGGCACTTTTTTTTGCGTCAGCTCATCTGCTTTGTGGACCACAATTTCATCTGGATCTGTCTCTAGAGAGCAAAGTCTACATTTTTTCAGTGCCAACCAAATCTGCCAGCCTACTATGCATTCGCTTCTATTCTTGCCTGCTGGCTCTTTCAGCCATCTGCACAATTGAATGAAAAAGGGAGTGATCCACGAGCAACGGACCAGACATGCGATCACAAATCCCACCGCCGCAACTCCCTCGAACATGTACGACAGGCCGTTCAACGACTCGCACCACTTCCGGTTGCTGAATAGCAGTCTATGCGTAATCAAGATAGTCCTCTTAATTACGAATTAGATTTCGACGATGCAGAGAAGCTAAGAAGGCATACTCCACCTCCAATGAAGATATTTTTTCTCGTTCTTCATCCTCGATAATGATTTTTCAACCTCTTTGGACAGGCAGTCATGCCTAGCTAAGCTAAGAAACATACCAAGCAGGACAATGACTTCTTGGCTACGGCAAGATAGATCTTCCAGAAATCTGTGTCGAGAATGGAGATTATACCGCGAAATGAGACCTCTTGCTCTATGAAATGCTGCACGCCAAGAACCTGTCCTAAGAACCGCTGCATGGGGCATGATTATCGAACATGTCAAAAACGCGGTGAGTGACGCCATTGCAGGCTTTCACAGGACATGTCTCGGCTCTTCGGCCAGTGTAGACCGAGCATGAAGGTGAAAAGTCATGCAGTGAGATGGCTGAAACTCTTCACCCATGCCTCATGATAGAACTAATAATAGAAGCTCCATGTCCATCTTCCCCGAGTGAATCTACAAGAATCTCTGCAGAAAGATGTCGTGGGGCCGATTTGAAGTTCCAACGAACCTTGGATAAGACTTCCGACAAGGTCGAGGCTCTCCTTTTTCGTACAGCAGTACTTGTCTCTTCAACATGCTACAGTCGCAGTCGCAGAGTCCAGAGTCCAGACCCGACCCGACCAGGTCTTGCAAGTTCCTTTTCGCCAGCATCTGAATATGCCGAAGTGTATCCGAACAGTCTTGACTGCTTGCTCTTCGAACAGCTGCTGAGCAAGTGATTGACACCTCAATGAGACTTGAGATTGCGTCGCTATACGACCAAACACTGCGGCCACCTAAATTTTGTTAGCAGTCGCACTGAGATGAATCGGTGAGCCGATGATCTTAGTAAGCGGACGCTTGAGGTTTATGCTCCTGCGTTGGAAGTTCATAAAAGCCGCAACCGCAGCCTTGTCCCTGTCGAGTCTTGCAGCATGAGGCAGCCAATAGGTAGAGGCCGATCGCGGTGTTGGAAGTGGAGAGAGGCATAAGATTTGAGCATACAGTCACCCTGGCCAGGTACCCATATAGCAGCTGACTTTCGAAGATGAGTGGAAGTCGTTCAGAAGGAGTCAATCGCCTTCTACCTTGCAGCTGATCACTTTGGCCGTCCGCTCATGCCATTCCAAGAACAACATTCGACTCGGAGCTGAAATGTTGACCGCAAATCCAATCCACCAGGTGGAAATCGCGCGGCAAGATAGTTCGATCAAGCCGGTCTTGCCGTTGACGGACGCTCTGGACGGACTGTCAGCGGAAGGGCAGATACGAGGAATTATGGACTCGCTCATCTTCGTTATCAACAATCGAGTCTTCGATCGAGCTTCGCTCCCATGGACACGATTTGTCCCGGACTTCCAAGCGGGAACCAACATAGCTCTTCCAATCCGGAACTCTAGGGAAGTGTTCGACATGTTCCAGACGGTCGCCGCGGCCTGTCCAGACTACAAAGTGACACTGTCGCACGCGCAGATTTTGGTGGATGAGGAAGCGGGTAGCGCAAAGGTGTCGTGGAAAGGGGAATCGGTCGGCTTGTTTCCTGGAATCACAATTCCCAATATTGGTGTTACGGAGTTTGAGAGGATTGATGGTCGCTGGTGGGTGTCCCGATCTGACGATATCAGAGGGCAGGGCGATTACCCTCATGTCGCGGACCTCACCTATCTGCAGGCATGGAGTCCTGGGGTTGATTGACAATGTATACTTGGGGACAAGTTCCAAATCGACACATTGTACTCGGCGGTGAATACTTCTATGACGGTAGAGAAGAAGATTGTGACTAGTTTCCCGGATCAAATCGACGTGCATTCGCTACTGCTCCATATTATCTCACCGTGGGAAGCTGCAATGAATGCGGAGTCGTGATTTCATGGTGAATACTGAAGGCTTTGAGACCGCATCTCATAGGTTCTGAGACTCAGTCTTCACGACATCACATTCACTGACAAACAAAGTTATGACGCAAGATCTGACCCACCCCATTTAAGCAGTCCAAATCGTCGAAAAAACATCCACCAAACCCTGCACCGCAAGCAAGTTGACCTTCTCAGGACCTCCTCTTACCCAATACCAATACCCAATTCCAACACCCCCAGTCACTGTAGTCGCCATCATGGTCCGCATCGCCTCGACCAGCCTCGCCGTCATTGGCGCTCTGCTCGCCCCGTCCGTGTCCGCCTGGGGCATCGCGTTCTACAGTGGCGAGAACTGCAATCAGGACGAGCGTTTCGTGAGCGCCGCCGCAACAATCGCGAGAAAGCAAGCTAACCCGCCCTAGGACTCGATCATGTATAGGGGCGACAGCACGAAAAACAGCAAGTGCCTCGAGGTCGGCGAGCCGGGTGAGAACTGCGAGTGGGTAAGTGCAGTTCACCTCTACCACCATATGTCAGACCAAGCACGCTGACTTTATCCCAGTACACCCACGAGGGCACTCAGGTCGCCGAGTGCACCGCTCCAACCAAATGGACCAACAGCTTCTACTGGTCCATCGGCTCGATCTGCGGCGTGGGCTTCGAAGATAACCACGACTGCTATGTAAGTTCGAAAAGCCGGAAAAGGTTGGGGGCGCATGCTAATGAGCTGTCTGACCACAGTTCAACGACTTCGACTGGCACGGTCAGCAGTGCCTCAAAGTCACCGATCGTCCTGACTGGGCTTTCCACGGCCAGACTCTCACCTTCCAGTGCCGCGATCGCGAAGAGGATGGACTCCAAGATGTTGTGCCGTACATCCCGATGGGCGCCTTGAACATTACGGTGCCATAAGCGCGCGCGACTGAACAAATTCGATGACTTGCCTCCGGACGGCGAAGAGTTTTCTTTTTGAGCGAGTTTGCATGGTGGCAGCAGCGGCGTAGCGGAAAGGGTCATAGCGAGATAACGGCGTCCCAAGAGCGCGACAGGCATGCAGTCAGCTGAGCTGGTCTCGGTGTTGCCAAATTCGACGGCAATCAGGTCGTCCTCCTAGCATAAGCCGCTATAGCTTTCCTGCAGCGGCAATCCAAGAAACCGATTTACCTCAAGCACAAGGAGCAGGACACATCTGCGTCAGATGTAGCTCTCATAAAGCCTCATTGCATCCTCATTCTGCTTCTCCAAGTCCACATCATTGGTGAAGGCTGCGCCACGCTTGAAGAAGTCGCGCATACCCTCAACATTGTCTTTCAATTCAGGCTCAGCATATGCGTAGACTCTACCAAATTTCCTAGTCTGATCCACCACAGCTTGGGATCGAGGTCTTCTCGCACCATCATAAGCCTTGAAGACCGCCTCGATCTGGGTGGAGTTGGTGACTCTTGAGAAGAGGTGAGTGAGAACAGCGCAGTCCTCGAGAGCCTGAGCAGCACCATTGCCAGCGAACCCGTACATCGTATGAGCGGCGTCGCCAATCATGCACACGTTTCCTCGGTAGTATATCGGCGCATGGTCGTGGTCGGCAGCTGTCCATTGCATATTCACATCCTCTGCGACCATGCTCACAAAGAGCTTAGCTTCGTCGCTGTAATCACCGTAGTCTTCCGGGTTCAGCGGAGGAGCCTCGCCAGTTTTGCTGAACTTCGCGCCACGAATGGCGACGCCGATATTGATTCTCTTGCCTTTGTCGAGAGTGATGGAGTTCACATGTCCTTTTGGACCAAGAAAGATGGGCACGTACTTCGTCCACTTCGGGTCTATGCCTCTGGCAACAGCTTTCTCCATTGGCATCATTCGTCGGTAGATGTGCCAGCCTTCGTGGTTCTTTGGGGCAGTTGCAGGATGATCAGGCCCCAAGATGTATGACCGTGTAAGGCTTCGCATCCCATCGGCACCTATCAAGCAATCTACTTGGACTTTCTCTCCATCCTCAAACTCTACCGTGACAGTATTATCGTGCTCTTCTATGCTCTTGACCCGCTTCCCAAACTTGACCCTCTCTTTCGGTATAAGCTCCATCAAACCTCTCAGTAGCTCGGCTCTTGCAATGGTCTTTCTGCCCTTGGCTCTGCCCAGCTCTGCGACACACTCTCCTGTATGCGGACCATGCGCCAGAATCACCTCGGTCACTATCTCTTCATCCTCTTCGCCGATGGTGACAGCTCGATCGAAGTATGTTTGCTTGACCTCGTCGCCGATCAGGCCCATCGCCTTGATCGCATTCATGTGTAGTGCTAGACCGGCTCCTACATCTTTGTGCTCTGGAACAGATTCGTAGACATACCAGTCAATGTTCGACTGCTTCGACAGTCCAGCTGCCACCGCCAGACCCGCAATTCCTCCTCCGACAATGGCCACTCTGACCGGCTGTCCTGCTGAGCCCATGATGTTTCGTGCTGATGTAGAAAGAGAGGCGTGCTTGTACAGGCCCGTAATGCTCCAATTTTGGGAAAGTTGTGCTCACCTGTCGTTACTTACCTTCCATGGTTTGAAAGCAGTGCCGAGCAACTTTGGTCCGAAAGCACATCTGCGATGCGCGCATGTGACTATGACGATGCGTTGAATTCACGTGTTCCTGTTGGTGAGGTGTGGGGATCATCGACAGCTGTCGTGAACCACAGTGCTCCGAGCCGAACGGGTGTAGCTAAGAATAGTTGATAAGGCTATAGAGAAGTGAATCAATCGCAGAGCGGCAGACAGGATAAAATCAGTGACATATTGCGGATCACAACTTCTGCTATGTGTATCGAAAGCAAGGAAAGGAGAGAAGTGCAAAGGAAAGCGACGGCATCATCGTCAGCGAATGCTTGGCATTGTATGTTTGTGCGAGAGCATCTGTCGATGGGTGCAATGTCTATCATTATCGCATACGCCATATATGTACTGTATAGAGATAAACCGGGCACAAGCCTTCATGCCTGTGGCTTGTAAGGCCTCGTCAACACAGTCCTCTGTGTCGAAGCGCAGGAAGATCTATATGTGTAATTGCAGAACTCATCGCTGAAGCACTTATATAAAGAGCTTGCTTCCGCGATACTTGTGCTTCGAACCATACTCCGTCGGTGTGCCGTAGATGTTGGCCTCCGTTTCTCTTTCTGGGAATCCTTCAAAAGATGCAGCATAAGTGGCGACGGAATGAGCGATCAGCTTGGTGTTCACAACCCATGCTGTCATATTGACATTGCCCACGTCGTCGCAGAGCTGATGGTAGCATGGATCGTACCAGTCTCCAGCTTTGCCACCAAACTCTCTAGCCTCCTCCTTAGTCTTGACTCCTTCTGCGCCAGTAGCCACGCCTCCGGCTGGAATACCAGCGCGAATGAATCCATCGTAATCGCTGCGGCCGTCGAATGGGATGAATGTATAGTTGAGACCATGTTTCTTGTACCAGTCAACGTAAAGGTCTCGGAGCTCTTCGGACCCAGCTGGATTTTCATCATTGGTAGCATTATAGACCTGGTATGCGAAGTTTGGACTGCCCATCATGTCGTAGTCCATGAATAGTCGGACTTTCCGGTTCTCCTCTGGCGCAAGTGTCGCTGCGTAGTAATTCGATCCAAGGAGACCTTCTTCTTCGCCAGCCCACCAGGCAAAGCGTACACAGTTGTTCACACTGAATTCGGTCAGCGCTGTCGCCACTTCAAGCAATGACAGCGTGCCAGAGCCATCATCGTTGATACCAGGGCCAGCTTCAACACTGTCAGAGTGAGCGCCAAGCATCACCTACAGCAGAACTTGTTAGCGATCGTCCTTCGTTTTCCGAGAGGAGAATTGTGAATCAGGTCACTTACACAGTTATCTTTGTCACCTTGAACAGTCTCGGCGATGATGTTGTTGGTCCCGATAGTCTTGACCTCGGCGTCAATGTATGCGATGACACTGACAGAACGTCCATCCTGAAGCTGCTCAATGTATGGCTTGGCTTCCTCCAAAGAGATGCTGAATGAGGCGATGTGGTCCGCGTCGGGTTCTCCTAGTGTCCCTCCAAAGAGACCGTTTTCGTTGTTGTATATGACTGCAGCGACTGCACCTGCTTGACCAGCCAGAGAGGACTTGTTACCAAATGCGCACTGTCCTCTCTGGATGAAAGCAATATTGCCTCTGACTGAGCTCGGATAGTCAGACGCTTCACAACCGCTGTTCTCAACCAGTATGAGATCGCCCTGTACCGGCTCGTGGTCCTTGGTTGGCGGCGTGAGGCTCATAGCGGACGCATTTTTGATCACTTCATCATCAAGGACGAGCCGGGACTCCGACACGTATCCAAGAACGGCAGGAAATGTCTGCTGCGAGACGTGGTAATAGCTTCCAAGCTTGGACAGAGTGGCCCATATGTAGTCGAGAGTAGCGGCATGGCCAGCACTGCCTGGTCACTGTCAGTAATGGACGCAATATGTCGCGTTTGCTCTGACTCGCCTATGACTCTGGTAGGGCGATTGTATTCGTGCCAGCTCAATTCGGCGAGCTTGTAAAGATCCTCGGCCCTCGCAAGCAGTTTGTCGCCGTCAATCTTCGACTGCAGCAGTTCGGTGTCGACCAGCGATTTGCCGCTGGAAGATGCCTCCTTATCGATCAAGGGTTGCTGACCATTGAACGCCGAAACCAGACCTGCGATGGAGAGGAGCACAATTGGTCCGAAGCGTGCCATCTTGACACGATATTATTTAATCCCAAGTCTGCGATGAAGAACAACCTTGATGACTCGATGTTTTGATGATTTCGTTGCGCGGACAACGTGGAAGTCAACGCCAGGTTGGGCGTGGGGGCGGAGCAGGCGAGATTGGAGCCTCCAGCACGAACAACTCAGCAGGATTCAACAACATTATCAAGTTGCGCATTGAGCGGAGGCTCTTTCTCATATGACACGCTGCTCAGACGCCTCAGATGGCAGATGACAGGCCTGAGGCGCATGACCAAGTGTCGAAGTCTTCGTTCCTTGCGTTGCCACCAGAAATCCGCATGACCATCTTCCAGCATTGCCTGCACATTCCTGGTCTCTCAACTACACCTGTTCCCCATAGAGCCGCGGCGTACGCGAAAGGATACACGTCTGGAGTCGGCCATATAACTTTGGCCCGGGATGGCGAAGAGTGGCGTTCTGTCTCCATCGCCCGCCCACCGGGCTTCGCCTTCAGCGCGACATCTGTTCTCCGAGTATGCAAATCAATACACAGAGAAGCCATGGACGTCCTGTACGACAAGATGCTTTGGGTGATCAATATCCAGAACCGGCGTCCCATCGCTCCTCCGTTCATAGGCACTCACAGCAACTCGGCCATTTCAGCCAGCCCGACCAGGCCATCTGTGTTTATGAAATGGGTCGCCCACGTACACATAAGGCAGCACATCAGGCCAGAGGAAGACTTACTGCAGAAAGCCGAAGCCTTGCGGTCGCTGATCGGCTGTCTTGGTTCGGATCGGAAATCCACTGAAGCAACACTGCATTTCGATTCAATTCATCTGGTGAACGACTCCAAGTGGCCAAGAACTGCTAAGCCTCAGTATGCTTGGGACTCGTACTACTCGCAGCTTATGGCATTTGATCTTGGAGCAAGACCCAATATCAGAACATCGTATTGCTGGGTTGAGACTGAAGGACAAGAGAGGTTTGAAGAGCTCACAAGACGCCTTGGAGGGTGCTTAAATGACCCCCATTACATCTACTGGTAGATGTAGTGGAGCATGAGACGCCATACTCTTCCAGTTCTCGAATTCAATGCACACGACTGCCGATCTGGACATTTCGTTCATGGCTATTGTTGCCCGACTCGGTCGGTTTCAGCCTTCTACAAGCTGCAATCTCTCTCATCACAGCCAGAGTTGAATCCCGAGAGAAATAACAATTTTCTTCTTCCAAAATCAGCTCATTTCCAGCGTTCCAAACCAGTATCCCATGATCGCATTACCATCATGTTTCCTAGCCACAACGCTCTTGCTGTTATCGGCATGAACTACCAAAGCGTTCACCACGTCTTCAGTCCTGCTCCGAAGTGCCATGTAGAGCAGCGTTGCAATGGTACTTTATGCCTCGTACCCCAATGCGGAAGGCGCTAGCGACACCGGGTCAAGCACAGACCATTTCTTGCGCTTCACCTCGGATAAGCCCGGAGCGTGGTGCCGAAGATAGGCACAGGCACGCCGAGCGGGGAGAGTCGGCGACAGACATACGAAAGGCTGGCAGGCTGCTGCTTTCCGGCATAAACAGGGCCAATTTTCTGGCGTAGTCATCAGGGTTGGACAGGACAATCCTTACAACCGCCAGCTAGGTACTCCTCTCCGCGAGTCTCTTTAGCTAGAAGACGGTGAAGCCCAGACCCCACGCCAGCTCCCGGTACCTACGCCATACGCCCTGCTTCTACCACAATGGCCGCACGTCGAGCACTGTCACGACGAACATTGCAGAGTCTCACAGCCCGTCCAACACCAATTGCAGCCTCCAGAGTCTGCAGAATGCCTCAAAGCCCCAGCGCAGGCCAGACGGGCGTGCGAAGACTACACGCCACGACCCAGCACCTCGCAGCGACGACGGCAGCAGCTTCCAGCCCCGCAGAATACCGAACTACGCACGAGAAGGTCGAAAAGCCATTGGACACCCCGAACTTCCTTGACAACAAGTTCGTAGCTTCAAAAGCATCGCAATGGATAGATCTCCATGACCCAGCCACAAACAACCTGGTGACCCGTGTACCACAATCCACAGATGAGGAGTTGAAGGCAGCGGTGGACAGTGCAGAAAAAGCATTCCCGGCATGGAGCAGGACAAGCTTGCTGCATAGGCAGCAGATCATGTTCAAGTATGTGGCCCTGATCAGAGAGAACTGGGATCGTCTCGCGGCCAGCATTACGCTAGAGCAGGGCAAGACTTTCGCCGACGCAAGAGGAGACGTCCTTCGTGGTCTTCAGGTCGCCGAGACTGCATGTGGAATTACCACACAGATGCTTGGTGAGGTGCTTGAAGTGTCGAAAGACATGGAGACACGCACATACCGCGAGCCACTCGGTATCGTCGCCGCCATCTGTCCATTCAACTTCCCAGCCATGATTCCTCTCTGGACCATCCCAATCGCTACCATGACCGGTAACACGGTGGTGATCAAGCCTTCCGAGCGTGATCCAGGTGCGACTATGATCCTCGCCGAGCTCGCGGAGAAGGCAGGATTCCCACCAGGCGTGATTAACGTCATTCATGGTGCGGCCAAGACTGTGGACTTCATCATTGACGAGCCACGAATCAAGGCCATCTCCTTTGTCGGCTCGAACAAGGCTGGAGAGTACATCTTTAGCCGAGGAAGTGCTCAGGGCAAGCGTGTGCAGGCCAACTTGGGCGCGAAGAACCACGCTGCGGTCCTTCCAGACTGCAACAAAAACGCTTCGTTGAACGCCATTGCAGGTGCCGCATTTGGTGCTGCTGGTCAGAGATGTATGGCTCTCAGCACGCTTGTGCTGGTCGGCGAGACGAAGCACTGGGTTGCTGAGATCGCCGAGCGTGCGAAGGGCCTGAGCATGAACGGAGGCTTTGAGGAAGGCGCGGATCTTGGTCCAGTCATTTCTCCACAAGCCAAGAAGAGAATTGAGGACATCATCGCCACTGCAGAGAAGGAAGGCGCAACCATTGTGCTTGATGGACGAGGCCAGAAGCCGGAGAAGTATCCAAATGGCAACTGGGTAAGCAAACTCAATCCTAAATGCAAGCTGCTGGGAATTAACATGTTACGCAGGTCGGCCCAACCATCATTGCCAACGTTACGAAGGACATGACCTGCTACAAGGAGGAGATCTTCGGTCCTGTTATCGTCTGCCTCAATGTCGAGACCCTTGACGAAGCGATCGACCTCATCAACGCGAACGAATACGGTAACGGAACCGCGATCTTCACATCTTCGGGAGCCACAGCAACGAAGTTCCAGAAACAGATCCAGGCTGGTCAAGTCGGTATCAATGTCCCAATTCCGGTCCCGCTTCCAATGTTCTCGTTCACTGGTAACAAGAAGAGTGTTGCTGGAGGTGGAGCAAACACATTCTACGGAAAGCCAGGTCTGCAATTCTACACACAACTCAAGACTGTGACGAGCTTGTGGAGAGCAGAGGACGCGATTAGTCAGAAGGCTACGACGAACATGCCGACACAGTCGTAGGACAGAAAAATATATGTTGACCGTCTAGTTCACGGCATGTTGATATCTTTATATCTGCTGAAAGTAAAATCGTATAAAGTGACCAGTGCAACAATCTGATTGATACTACCACAATTCTTCTTCATTACTCATTTCGAGCCCCCCGTCCCTACACATACCAGATCTATTTCCCTCCCTCGCCGTCCCGGTATCTTCCCAACACCTGTCTCGGCAACATCTCCCGAACTCTCAACTCCAAAAGCCTTCTGCCACTGCTCTACCCTAAAACTCCAACCTCCTGACATCAATCCATGGCTATCTATCCTCACAGCCACGAATCTCTTTGCGTACCCTCCCTCGACTCTGATCCAGATCTTGAATGAAACTCAGCAGAACGAAGTTGATATCCAAAAGGGGGTGAAAAAAAAAGAAAGCTCAGCTATCGCTACGCTAGATGGAGACATGCACGTTGTGAGACTTGTGGCTGATCACTGATGTTCTCGTTGCTATCGAGAAACAGTGCTTTTGGGTGGGTCTGGTTTTCTGTTCGTGCTGTTCTGCTGCAAGCGAGCGGAGTCGTGGGCAAGAACAGATTTGTGGCTATGAATGAATGAAACTGGTGCAGCGATGATCTTTTGAGTTCGCCTGCTGCTGCGCTGGAGATAGCCTTCCTTCTGCGACAAGCACAAGGACCGTATTCGACTTCTTTCAGAGTTCGCACCTTTTCAGTCCTCTGTCAAGCAGCCTCTCTCCAAGCGTGGTAAGTAAATTCTGAGGCCGCCTCAAAATGCTCGCAGGATCACGCGCGACGACGAGGATCTTCTGCGACAAGGTTAGGAGGTGATGGGACTGGTACAGTTGCAACACATACCCGCTTCTTGACCAGCAGCGAGTTTGTGTCGGTGGACGTCATGGTTGGGACTGTGTTGTCGGCGAATTTCAAGAAATGCTAGGAAGAGTGGAAATATTTATGCGCCCGGATTAAACTTTGACGCGCCTGAGTACCTTCTCCGTTTGCGCATCGTGCGAGAAAGCTCTGACATTGTGTGAAGGAAAGCGCTCGATCACCCCTTTCGGGCACTCCGCAGAGCAATAGAAGTCACATCTTGTCCGACGCGGACTTTGACGTCTGAGAAGCCGACTCGAAGAGCCTCCAGTCGTCCCAAAGCATCAGCAGAAGCACTTTGAGGCGTAGCGCCTACACCAGAGCTCTTGCTACCTTGGGGCTTTAACGACCAGGCAATGCTGATGTGGAAAGCGTCGCTGGCCTCATTGTGGCATTCAGCATAGAGTAGAGGCTGGTCGAGGGATTTGGCGAGAGCGTTGCAGGTCTTCAGCAAATTCTTCAGCTCATCGCCGGCAGGCCTCTGCAAGCGAAGCACAAGGAACCAGCGCGTACGGTGTTCGTTGGGATGCCAGACCAGCTCCAGTGGCTGGACCTCGAATGCGCGCACGCTCGCCTCTTCAATGGCCGTCTCGAGCCTCGATACGAAGCTGTCTTTCTGCTCTGTCTTCAGTGCCAAGGGGCGCGACAATGAGACGTGCAGTGGCAGCTGGACTCCCAGGTCGTTCTCCAGCAAGCTCTGCACGTGCTCCTCGCCGCTTGTCTTCCTGATTTCTTCGAGGATCTCGGACAGTAAGCTGTACTCCTTTGGCATTGGACTCCCTCCCGTACATGTTAGTGAATCGCGAAGAAGATGGAAAGGGCAACGGAACTCAGTTGTCCTTACAGTCGAGATATACATGCGTCGGCCAATTGCCCACGACATGAGGGGTCACTCGTTTCCGGCCAGCATGGAGGGCGGGATCATCTTGAGTGCTCGTCCTCACCGTCGACGAGTACAAGTCCCGAAAGCCGGCAGGAAGTGGTGGTAAGGCAGACAATCTCCTCTTCTTACTCTTGGGCTCGTCGTCTTCCTCGTCGGAATCCGAGTAGTCGACCAGGCCCATGGCTAGAAGAATATCAGGAGTGTGTGTGGGGCTCTGCTACGAGACTGTCCGAGCAGATCCGGAGCACGACGACACGATCGCGCGTTGGAATCAAGCAGTTGACGCGTGTGTCGCGATGACGGAGCGGAGCACTGATCGTTCTGAGGCACGCGAGCAGGGGTCTCTGAGGCCTGACGCTGACGTAGCCAGGCCCATCATCCATGCAGGACGCACGGCACGGATGAGCACGAGCAAATGTACGCGCAAGTGCAGGGGCCGGTGCAGGGAGCAAGTTCCCGCCTGCTCTGCATCTCACTCCTGCAGCCTCTTCTCACGCAACTACTCCTGCCTTCACCTGGAGACCACAGCTTGGACTTGGAGACGATAAGCAATATTACCACATGGCGGAAGACGGTAGCAAGGTAAGCAGAACTCAACGATCTCGCGTGGTCATGCAAGGGGCCGCAGCGGCAGCGGCAGCGGCAGCGGCAGCAGGCAGCAGGCAGAAGTGAAACGCAAACAGTTGCAAGGCATGAACAAAGGCACAAAGTCAGCGGCTGACACCAAGCTCGTGTACTGTACAGGCCGCAGCCGCCTACTTGATCGATCCATTGAATGCACCTCAGCCCGCCGACGAGACTGGCCCGGGCACGCACTTTGGCAGCACATTCGATCCCGCCCACAAAGCCAATGCCCCCGCCCTGCCCAAAACCTCCACCGGTCGCTCATCCGCGAGCAACAACCCATACCGCAAATCGATCGACAAGCATGGCATACCGGAAAAGACTGGCGCATCATCGCACACCCGAGCACTGAGCGGCGCAAGCAATAGCGGGAGACGGAGAAGTCCTCGCGAGGAGTTTCCCAACTACCGCGCTGAGGCATTTGGCGACTTTGAGCCAGCACCGCGCAGTCGCAGTGGAAGCCATGGCAAGCCGCCGCCATCTTATGAGCATGCCACTGGCTCTGCCCCAGGCTCTCCAAAACAACACCGCAGACGCACATCCTCCTTGAACCAGCGATACCCAGGCGATGAGAGTACTGAGCCTCTGGAGAGAATCAGACGCGATAGCTTGAGGGCCCACCGCTCGCCGCATCTTAGAAAGAAGCATCAGCCGGGAGCCGACACCATCGACCGCCTTGACCCTGCTATTGGAGGCCGTGCTTACCATCATGAGGGCCCATATGATGCCGCGCTGCTAGCCAGAAATACTAGTTATAAGTCTTCGCCAGTAGCCGCATTGCAGAAGTCGAACGAAGAAGCGCTCAAAGCTACGCCTGCAGAGAATGTTAAGGACAGTCTTGACAGGCACAAACCGCTCGACGGTGTTGCTGTGGTACCTCCAGGCATGCCAGACCGCTTTGGCAGGACTTACAACTATGAGGAAGGAGCCGACCTCATGCACGAGGACAATCCAGATGGACCGGGCTACAAGCGTTGGAGTGGAAAGGTGAGATACCGCCTACCCAATGGGCACTGGCGCAATGCTAACGAGGCGCAGGAATACTCACCAGACGATCTTAAGGGGAAGGGTGAGCCATCCTTCTCTCTCAACAAGGCCTACAAGGCACACACCATCAACGACAACGGTATCGAAATGGCCAACGGCGATCAGATGTATAAGAACCGCAAGCAGAATGGCTCCGTAGACAACCGTGATCCAGTTGATATTGCTAGCGGAGAAGGCCGTTCCGTCGATGCGGAGATCGCTCATACCAACGACAGAGATTCTGGAATGCAGCGGAAAGGCAGTCTGCGAGATGGGTTGAAGAGGCGAATTGGTAGCTTGCGCAAGAAGCCAGCCGAGCGTTAAGTTTGCCATGTTTTAGGGAGGGAAGCTCTTGAGGCACATGTTCCTGGGCTGACGGGCCTGAAGAGGACACACAGTTGGACTACATGGCGAAAGTTTTGATCACGCGTCAGATTGTATCATGATGAACAGCATATGATGGAGTTTACAGGCAAACAGCGATAGAAGGAGCAAGATACGATGCAGATATGACGATACACAGATCTCAACGATGTATTCACGCGTCTGACAAAACAATCCATGTACAATCGTGAAGCAAGCGAAGCGTTGCCACTTGGGCGAGGAGTTAATGACAACAGCTCTGGCCCTATTGCCTCTGCCACCCAGCCTTGCCTTCTTCACGACCACTTACGCCATTTCCCAACAAACATAGAAAAATCCCCTTTCACCACTGAAGTCCATCATGTCATTCCGTAAAGCACGGCAACCGCAACAAGTCACCGACGAGTGACATCCCATAGTGTCCTCCTATCAAACCCGATCAATCATCCGTCGGAACAAATCCCTCACTAACCTCGCCATGCCCTCGCCATCCCATCCCATCCCCCCCAAACCAGAACCAGCAGCTCATCCACGCCCACCTCCTCAACCTAATCCCCCACCACCACCAAAAACCAGGCGACTATCCTGATTTGTTTTTTTCCGACTAGATTAGGGAAATTTAAAGAAAAGAAAATTGCAGAGAGAAACTTGGCGGGGGAGGCGGATACGGAAATTACAGGCGAAGCGGAGATGGGGAATGGGAACGGGACGGGAGATGGGAAAGGTTAGATATTCTTGTTGCAACTCTTACTACGCTTGAGAGTGAAGAAAGAGTTGTTAGGTATAATTCGGGGGATTTGATGAAAGAGTGATGTGGAAGTACAGCTTGGACAGTTGTGGTGTTCATACCATTGGTTTAACAGGATCGAGATTCCAGATGGCGCATCCTCGTTCGTAGCTATGTATATTCTAGCAATTCTTCTATACGGAAAACAGCGAGTACCGAAAAGCCTTCATGATGTCCATGTGCATGATGTGACCAATGTCAATAAGATATCTTGATCGCCTCTGTAAGCATAAAGATTTCTCTCGGAGCTGATTCCGTCAATCGACTTTGGCCTGGGTAGTGGCCGTAGTTGTGTTCCCATCATCATCAGTCGCCGTAGCTGTGGCCGTAATAGAAATTCCTTGTAGGGGGTTCCTGTTATCCTTACAAACCTTCTCCAACATCATTGTGACGTTCTTCGTCAATTCACCAGCACGACGCAAAGCCTCGCCAGCGTATATCGTGGCATCAGCAGCATCCCTAGCCATCCGCATTAGGAGTTTTGTGACTTCTGGGCTCTGACCATCTAGCGCATTCGACTGCAGAATCTCTGCGATACTGGCAAGCGCTTCTGCCGGCGACTTCGCAGGGACAGGTCTGTCTGGTGCAGAACTATCGCGCATCGAGGCCGAAGTCAATTCTTTGATGCTTGATGTGCTATTGGTACGTTGACTCAGCAAATAGTCGATCTTAGCCTCCAGCCGGGCGATGCCGGGGTCCTTTGCTACAGCTGCAGCGGTGGCATCTGAGATGATTCGAAGAGGATCGCCAGAATCTTCTTCTGGAGGCGGTGGAGGCGGCGGTGGCGGCGGTGGAAAGTCCTCCATCTCTTCATCGGATACTATTGCATCATCGTCTCCAGCTTCTGTCGGCGACATTGGTCCATACACAGCTTCGATAGCTTCTTTCGCTTCACGGTTCGATGTTTCTCGCAATCGCTCCTCAATGTAAGCCTCCTTTGCCTGTTCCTCATCCTCCGAAGTAAACTCGGTAAGTGGTGAGGTTTCGCGAGAAGAATCGGCATCATTCGTCTCGGCGCCTTCTCTCTCGGCATTGTCTGCCGAATTCCAGCTTGCGTTTGAGCCGCGTCGGGCGGCCTTTCTGCGTTTGTTCGCTCGTCTGGCATCCTCGAGGTCGGCCTCTTCGGCTTCTTCAGATGATGAGCGCGACTCGCGGCTACGTTTGCCCCTTCCATGCACGCCTCTCCGATGCTGGTTCATGTTGTCATGTCGCGCGAAAGCTTTGCCACAGTCCGGGCATTTGACGTCCTTCTTGCCGTCATGTACTGATCGGGCGTGCCTGACAGCATGGCCTGGTTTGCTGAAGAGAGAGGTACAACCCGTCTCCTTCGCCATGGGACATGGCCATCGATTGTGCAACCTGTCGTAAGCAACCTCAGATTGATCGGTAGGATAGCGTGTTCGCAACCGTTTCCTCACAGGCTCATGCTCGGATTCGTCCTCAGATTCCTGCACCTGCTCTTGCTCTTCCTCGTCTTCCTCATCCTCGTCGTCCTCCTCGGTCTCCTCGGTCTCTATACGCTTCTTCCGTGCGGGCGCTTTCGCTTTCGCTTTCTTCTGTTGCTTTTTGCGAGCAGAACTCTCGGCTTCCTCATGTTTGCCAAGATCCTCTATTTCCTGCAACTGCTCCATGAAAAGCTTCAAGCTCGTTTTGGCGGCAGGCGTATGCTCCAAGATGGTGCGCATGATTTCCAAGGCCGACTCGCGGGCATTGAGTTGTCGCACATTGGCCTCCGATGGAAGTGGCTTGTCATGCTGCAGGAGTTGCTGCACGGAAGGCTCATATTGAAGGTCACCAAGAATTTTGGTCACCAGCGGATCCGCATGTGGTTGTCGGGCTTGTTTCTCAGATGGGGCTGCATTGTCGCTGGGGCCGTCTGCGGAAGTCACAGCCGCTTGCGGACGCTTGCGAGCCATATCTGCGGCAGGTGGGGGAGGAGGAAGTGGTGTGCTGCTGCTCCAATCTTCTGCGGCGTCTGGCGGCTCAGGACTGCGAATCTCAGAATCATTTGTTGGATCGGTGAGAGGTGAGGATGCACTCGAATCTGCGAGAGGCGTTGATGCACTCGAGTCTGCGAGAGACGTTTGGTCGGTTGCCGGCTGTGGCTGCGTTGACGTCGTGGCCGTGCTATCGTTATCAACTGCGGCGTTGCTGGCTTCCGCGTGCACATGTAGCTCGGTACTCTCGCCCACCAGCGTCGCATCCTCGTCCTCTTGCTCTGGAGCAGGCGGTCGTTGTGGTGAAGCTCCCGCTTTGGCCTGGCGAACTTCCTCTCCTCCCTCTCGTGGTGTTTCGGCCGCGTGCTTCTGCACACCGACCTGCTTCTTGCCGTCTTGCCACTCCTTCCCTCCCTTGCAATTGGCACATTTACACCCAGGCGGATCATACCGAATCTCCTCAGGCGACGCCGGTTCTCGATGTTTGGAGGTTTTTGGTGGAGGCGGCCTCTTCGAAGAGGTCCCTTGTTGCCCTGTAGCCTTTCCTTGCGCGCGCACCGCCCCGGCTTCCTCTTCCCGATCCTTGATCTCCTTCTTGGCCGCCCTCACAAACTCTTGAAAGCGTGCGTTGTCTTCTTCGTTGGCTGTCTGAGTGAGGATCTTCTCGAGAAGCTCGCGCAGTTCCGAATCGTGCATTGACTCCTGATGTATCTGCCGCACACACATGGCCAGCTCGACCTTGCCCACTTCCATGGCCCTCTCACAAGCGGCATCGACTACACGCTCCAGCTCCTTGTCCGCATATTCATACACGCGGAACCCATCAACGCCTGGGGCTGTTTTGAAGCCGTCAGGGATATCATCCCACTCGCATTCGTTGTGATTGAACTTCCACTGCCATTCTGCGGCTGTCATCTTCGACCAGATCTTGATCCATCTTCGCATGAGACGATCGTATTCTGAGCCCTCCTCATGGCCTCGTCTGCGCTGCCCGACCTCGACCTCCCTTTCCCAATACGCTTCTTCATACTCCAACTTCAGCCAGAAGCTCTTCCCCGCCCATGTGGTGCCACGAGCTTGCTTGAAGGTGCCTTCGACGTGCTTGAACAGGCCATGGATATCGTGAGGGTTCCATGTTTGGCTGAGGTCTATCAAGTACGAGAGCAGAGCATTCTTGTCTTCTAGCATAAAGTTCCGTCCACGCGGCATGGTGGACGTACGCTAGCATGGCCTAGCCTAGGAACGCAGTCACCCAGCGCCGAGACGTTTCTCCTTGCCTTCGCAAAGCAGATGCATGTGTGCAGCGTCCGCGAAGCTCTCCCGACAAGGAAGTTGGGTCTGGGGCCGTGCGTTGGTTGCGGGAGGCGCAATCGATCTGCAGGGATCTTCCAATGCAGCGCATCTTCTATTTCTGGCGCGACTTCCTCCATCACATTACGCTTGCCATACAGCAACATTATTTCTCGCGCATAGCGAGCGTGTATGTCTTCTGCACTCGCAAGGTGTGGCTGAGGCTGAGACTTCAGTGGTCTGTCTCGCACACCTGTATCCGCATCCCAACGCTTTCTGCATCTGTGGACCCGTCACTGTCGGCTGTGGACGTCTCACCATATATCAACATCGAGACAATGTTCTTTTACTTACATCTCTTCGAGTCCTGCAAAGCTTTCTCCTACCAACTTGGCTTCAGTAGGCCTTACGACTCCAGCAGATACTTGACCACCACCGGATCATACAAGCACGGAAACATGGCTTCAAGAAACGCCAAATCTCATAGCAACAAGCACTCCCAGCGGCAGAATGTCTTGATCAAAAGAAAGGCAAGCATCCGAGGCGCAACCTGATCGATCGCTGCATTGTACGGAGGACTTGATACACATTTCCATTGAAACTACTTCAAGTCATGCCTTGCCCTGATCCAAAATACTTATCGTTCATCCCGGCTTCCCGACTTTTCGGCAAGACTGTAATAGCGATGCATGCATGTGAAACCTCGCAAAAAATGACGCCACACATGACAATTCTCTAGCGCCGATACGCCAATATCCAATCGTTCAAAATCTGCAGTAGCAAAAGTCCTGTGCTGAAACATGCCGACGTCGAAATCATGTTCGGTGCGGTGCGCGAGTCAGTGGTTTGTTGTTATAGCCTGGGATGGCTATTCTCAGACACGGAAAGCCTGCATGCAGTGTAAACAACCAGGAATTCGGCCGATGTTGTTGGCAGTCATATTCACCGCCGCCGACTGTGAGCCTCCCGCTCTTCGTAATCGTAGTCTCTTCGTCTGTCGTAGTCTCGTCGTCCGCTATCATAATAGTCTCGATAGTCTCTGTCGTAGCTTCCAGAACTGGAACTTCGTGAACGGTAGCTGCGAGCGCGGGAATCGCTGCTGTGGGAGTCTTGAGAGTCGCTTAGACATCCGTTGCGATGCTCTTCGAGATCTTTCTTGTCTTGATTTGCTTTCTCTGTGGCTTTCTTGCCGAACCAGTAGTTGGTCATGTAGATGGAAAGTGCACCGCCGACGAGTGTCGAGCAGGCGCAAAAGACGCCGACATTGAAAGGGGTGAGTTGTTCGACGACGTGTGTCTTGAGCGTCTTCTTTTGGCCTGACTGTTGTTGATTTGATTGCACGGCGACCTGCTTCGAGGAGGACTTTGTCTGAGGGCGTGTTCGTGTGGCCATTGTGTCAAGTCTTTTTGGTGTTCGGCTGGTACGTAGAAGACTGTACGCGTACGTGATAGTGATAGTGATGCGGCTTTTGAGAATGAGAATGGTGAACGAAAACACAGCCACGGACCAGAAGAGCGATGCCTGCTTTCCTCTCGACTCGCGCACTGACACAGTCTCCCAAATGAGACGTCAGGAGTCTGACCTGTACGATATGCTTCTATGATTGGAGAGCCTTGGCACTGTCTCAAGATACATCAGATCCTACTATGGCCAGTGCTGTGCAAGTGACGGAATTATAGGCGGTTGTCCTGGTAAGCAAGCTCCGAGCCAAAAGCTGGCGATATTCTTGAGGTTCGAGACTGGCTTGCCAGGCAAGTCGGGTGCACTACAGTCTGGACGTGAGCTTGCTACATGTCGAGTAGGGAACGACGAGCTTCGCGGTACAAGTCTGTTCAGATGTCAGACAATCTTGTCGCTGGCGTAAATGCAGAAGCAGTCTGATCTGCAATGTCACGGCCGTCGATCGTCCATTGTGCTCGTGAGAAGGAGCAGGCCAGTCAGAGTCATACAGTCGGCGATCAAGTTGACCGTCCTGTCAGCGCTATAGGTGTTTCCTGAATTCGCCTCAAATGTCGCTGTTCTGAACGTGGCATTGGGTCTAGCTTGGCCTCATCTCGGACTTCATCTCGAACAGCAAGCTGAAGATCGGCCCCCACTCGCTTGGCACCCCCAATTGTCAACTGGACCGTGCAAGCAGAACCACAGCTCGAACAACCACATCAACCCTGGCTGTACTACTGTAGGTACCAACACATTATTCGAGCCTGGACCTGCCGATCCAAAAACGCCATGGCAACTATAGATCCCTTCGACGCAGCACTGTAGGCACATGCACACCCACTCCCTCCCCCGCTATCAACACTGACCAGGCTCCAGCGATCTCCTCCGCCGACTGCCACCAAACTCAACGCAGCAGAACCTCCAAGGCATAATCTCACTTCGCCCAGAGCTTGAGGAAGATCTGCTATCGTCTGTCGACGTTGCTCTCACATCCAAACGATGTACTCAATCTGGACGCGACTTCCTCTGCTGCGACTACAACCGCGATGGCTCCTCCTACCGAAGTCCATGGAGCAACGAGTTCCAGCCTCCGTTAGAAGATGAAGGTGATGCGATCGATCTCATACCTGGCGGAAGGGTTCGGCGTATGGAAGAGGCCCTCAATGCTGGATTTGATGTGTATCGAGAGCTGTACTACGAGGGCGGCGTGAGCTCAGCATATCTTTGGGCACTGGACGAGGGCTTCGCAGGCGTGGTGCTTTTCAAAAAGACGGCTGATGCTCGAGGCGGCGGCAAAGGTGGCTGGGACAGCATACATGTGCTCGAAGTCAACGAGGCAGCCACCAAGCGATCAGCACACTACAAGCTCACAAGCACGGTCATCTTAGATCTGGGCCTGCAGACCTCAAGCGTGGACAATCTGGAGCTTGCTGGCAATCTCACAAGGCAGACAGAGCAAGATATGCCACTTCAAGGCTTGCGGGACGCCGAGATTGAGCAGAGTCATGTGGTGAATATTGGTAGAACCGTGGAGGACATGGAGACTCGGATGCGAAATTTGCTCCAAGAGGTGTATTTTGGCAAGGCTAAGGATGTCGTAGGCGATCTCAGGAGTATAAAGCCTCTGAGTGAAGCTGAAAAAGACCGAGCAGCCCACAGGGACGTCATCGACAAGATGGGTGGAAGATGATGAGGGCCTGCATGACGAAGGACACATCAGGGAATGCAAGCTGAAGCTCAAAATCGGTCGTGAATGGGGTGCAGTGCGTGGCAGTGACAGTTTGCCACAAGCGTGATCATGCGCAGCATGATCATTCGATGTATGTATTCAAGACCTTCCTTTCAGCTTACAGCATTAATGGTCGCCAAAAGCCATTGCGCTGCGTTACCGAGAGTTCGAGATTTGAATCATCACTACATCTCCTACTCGGGCCTCAAACACTCAGCTAAAGCGACTGGCAGATATCCCGACAGCATGTACAACACCACATCCCAAGCAAGCTTCGTTCCTGCACGAGCATTTTGGAAGCGGAAATCTGTGCGCACATCAGTGGTCAGCCTACGTAATGTCCTCCCAGAGCCCGAAAGACCCCGACCAGGCAGGACCGTATCTGCTTGGCTCGAGCAGCACAAGCGCAAACAGCTGCTGATCATGAGCGATGGCCGATGGTTCTCGAGACCACCAAGTCCGATGGGCCTCTTTAGCAGACTGCCTGATCATATCAGGAAAAGAATCTGGAAATATGCTGTGACTTATGGCGCCCACTTCGTGATCACCTCATATCGTGGTGATGGCAAACTCAGCTATCACCGAGACCTGGTCCCAAGAAGTGATCCACCGAACAGTCGTGGTCTTGTCGCGAACGAGGACGATGTCAGGGCCTTGCAATTGGTCAGTAGGCAGATTCGGCAAGAGACGAACGAACTCTTTTACAAGCAGAACTACTTCAGCTTCTTCAACGATTGCGAGTCCGAAGGCAATGATATCGATTCGCTGGTCTCGAGCTTCCGATCTCAGATTGGCGTACAACGCTTCTCGATCATACGTGGTTTACGCTTCATCATCCATGCAGTCCGACATATAACACCTTGGAACCCATCAAACCAGCAGCCTCTCATCGATCAAATCGCCAACGATCTCAACGCTATCACAGAAGTCACAACTTCGCACTGCACCACAATATCAGACATCCGCGTTTGCATCTCACTCTCTCTTGACATTGATGGCGATCTCATATCTCCAAAGACGCAGATCGAGTATCAGGATCCTCGATATCCTGGCGTAGGCGTTCTCCGGGCTGTGTGGATGGAGCATGGGGGCCTGCAAGCAACGTGGCGTAGGACGGGGAGAATTGCAGGTATGAAGAGCGGACGGCAAAGGGTTGGCGTCAATATCTGGTGCGATCTCAATTCCGAAGGCTTGGACGATGGCATTGAGAGGTTGAGGAAGAGCGCCGAAACCGAGAGGCAGGCGTTGGTTGACATTAGTGATCAGAAGTATGCACAGCGATTGGCCGGAAGTAGGGCCGCGGCCATTCTTGAGGCTGTCAGGTGTTTGAGGAAAGCGAAGGAGAGTATTGTGGGTGGCCTGTGGAGTAATATGTGAAAGTGGGAGTGAAGAGCGTTCTTTGTTTCTGAACTCACATCACCGGGCGCTAGGCACTAGCGTCCCGCAAGACTCCACTACAGCTTATATAAGGTAGGTATGCCAAAATTCCACGTTCCCTCCGACAATTCTCATCCGCACATCAAAATCGATTCAACTGATTGCCATAAAAACATCGGCGCCGACCTGTTCCCGGCTTTCGCACGATGGACAAGTCGCCGATGGGAAAGCTCCCGCCTGAGCTACGAAATAAAATCTACGAGCTGGTTCTGGTCAAGTCGAGGCCCATTTACGTCAAGAGTTGCCTCGAGACCGACCCCAACCGAGCTGTTATTTGTACGAGTAATAGCGAGCGCCCGGAGCTAGCTTTGCTGCGCACTTGCAAGCAGATTCAGCAAGAAGCAACTTCAATCCTGTACCACGACAACGTCTTCACCTTCACAAGTCAAAACGGCGATTCGGCACTCGCTTTCGAAAACTTCATCAAACTCATTGGCTCTAGCAGCGCTGCCTCCTTGCGGTCATGCCGTGTGGAGGGAGGCAGCACTCGGCTCTTTCCGACCAAATGCGAGAACCTAGGTGAGCAGATTTGCTCATGGGGAAAGAAGACGCTGGATTTGTCAGACCAGCTCCCAGAGTGCAGCATTACTGGCACCTGGCGCTTCAAGGTGGTCGACAAGATCGAGCTTTACGCATTCGACTTTTCATCAACGAGGGAAGTTTTCGTCAAGCAGTGGAAGACAGCTACGTGTCAAGCCCTCCAAAATTTGTGCAATGTAATGAGAGAGCTCTGCGGCTTACACTACAACGATCCTCGGAACGATGCTCTACAACGGCTCTGTGATGAAATGAGCGATGTCGCGCAGGCCCTGAAGAAATGTTTCGGCGAGCTGGGTAGGTACAGAACGAGCATGCACCGGCGAGTGCGACAGATGAAGAGAAACGCACGCAGCAGCAAACCCAAGCGTTTGAATGTTTCCTGAGCTATTCGACACGCTCTGCTCATACCTTTATTGGACGGAGTCAAGCGCTTGCAGCACAATTCCCATGCTTGAGATGCCCTTTTCCAAGGCAACGACAGACGCGCATGTGACGCACGAAGAATGCCTGAGACGCACCTGTTGTATCAGAGCATGGAGAAGACCGACTATTCGACACTCGCTGGTGGAGGCTTGCATTGCTGAAGAGGGAAAAGAATGAGCGAAACATTTGCTCGAGGAAGCTGCGCATAGCTGTCGAATGCCGGGAAATTGATCGATGTGGATTACAAGCACTATTTGCATTGCGCACTGCGGCCACATTCATGCCACTGAATTGGAGGAGTTTGTCTGGTTTCGAGACTCATGGACGTCTGTCCGAGTGACTAGAATTGGAATTTGGTGGTTCGGCATCATGCCCAGTCTTCGAAAGGCGCGTTGTCCAAATCCTCGATCGGTCTCAAATGGAGTACTGTAATTCTTCCAGAGTTAGCCCTTCAATGCCTACGATACTTCTAATCTTGCCTGCAGATCTATCGGTACCACGCCTCCTTGCCCATTCCACAATGTGACGAAAGGTTTCTGTAACACAGCCGACTTAAACCTCCACCGAGAAAGATGATGATGACGATGAAAGTTCTTGGAATCGGAATTCTCAGGCACTTGGCAAAGCAAGGTGCAGCCTTCTTGTGAGGACACGACTCGCCACCACCGTAGCCACATCACCATCACCATTTACGTTAGGCTTTCTGCAACGTTACACGCCACATGATTCGGCACGCAGACTTCAATTCAGGACTGCTCCGCGTCATACTGTATCAGAATGTCTCGGGTATGATGATGATGGTCATCAACAATTTTCTGAGATGTTTCGAGCATGAGAGAAAAAGACAGCAAGATCTCCTCTTTTGCATCTACATCTCTCAGAGGCAATCAATTCAACAACAACAACACCTTCGTTTTCTAACAAACACCTTCGTTTTCTAACAAACATCGTTTTCTAACCACAAAAATACACCATGTTCCACAAACTCATTCTCGCTTCGGCCCTCTGCGTGGCATCGGTGATCGCAAGCCCAAAACCTCACTTGGAAAGCCGTCAGGCGCCGACCTGCACAGATGGAGGACAACTTCACTGCTGTGCTGCGACTTTCAACGGAGGCATTGCACCAGTCAAAGAACTTTCGAACTTGGCATGCTACGACCTGACACCGGCAACCGTCAACTGCATCATCGGTAAGTGGAGCCTCAAACTCCCAAATATGAGATTTGAAAAAAAAAAAGCTGAAAAATGATTAGCGGAGGATAATGGCGCTGGCTGCACTGGGACATACTCCTGCTGCCAGGTCAATGACCTCGTTCCCGTTGCCGGACTTTTCTGCTCTGCGCCACCGGGGCGTTGCGTTGGAGATGAAGCAGATGGAGCTTGCACGGACTTGCTGCACAACCAGAACGGCGACCGATTTGGCCAATGCTCGGCCGACGATGTCACTGGTATCAGACTCGGACTGGGTCTTGGTCCGTTGGAGGGTGTCAGAAGTTGAGGAGGGGCGTGTGTATATGTGAGAGCATTTCCGTGGGTGGGTGGTATACTATGAGGATAGAAGAGAGGATGGTAGAAGTTCGGGAGGGCATGTATATGTATCAGGGCATTTGTATGATGAATTCTTGGGCGGAGATAGCGATAATTAAGCAAGAATGCTAGGTCCGCTGCATGTGCGCAGTCTTATAGCGGCTTTGACTCACCGAGCTGAACTTCATCCAGTGGCATGTCAAGGCATCAAAGCTGCCGGGATGCAGTGCCGTATCAAAACCTACGAGCCTTGCGACTTTCTTCTTCATTCTTTCGGTTCTCGATGACTGCTATAACATCATCAATCTTTACACTGTCAGCAAAGCAGTAGATGAAGCGACAGCAGCTAAAGGAATGCTCCATCTAGTCTTTCTCAAATTCTCGAGTTACTTCATCGGCTTTATCGATGTGGACTTCCGAAAGGAGCTCAGAATCAAAGGTTTCAGAGGACTGCGGAGAGGATGAGGTGGTGCTCTTGAGATCGAGTTTGGAAGTGGTTCGAGCCGCAAGATTGCCAATGGTCTTGCGCTCGTCTTAGCCGGTATGAAGTGGTAGGGGTTTGATGCGAATGCCCAGCGAGCCAGGATTGATCCCACCATTGGCGTCGAAACGGAGGAGCAGAAGAACGGTGAACTGAGGGGGGATTACTCGAACACTGCATTGGCAGAGCGGCGCTGTAGTGCTGAGTCCTCTTAGTCCTTGGAGAAGCAGAGCAAGCGAGACAGATCAGTCACAGCCTATGCTCCCGGCCAACATTCTGCTGCTCGAATGCTCGAGGACATCGGCGCTCCAATTGACGAGAGCCTTCGAAATTCTCGCGTCGAAGATAAAGTCGATGCAAGTGGCGGACCATGTTGACGCGGGAAAGCATATGAGGCTTGCCAGCTTGTTAACCCAGTGGCACAGCTTCTTCCTACAGCTAGCTTCTCTGCTTCTTCAAACTGGCCCAGGACTTTGCAGACCCGCGCAGACCCGCAGATGCTGTAGCGATACGTGTCACTTCCATAAAGTATCCCCGTACGTGCCATTTCCACCACTCGGAGCATCAGTTCCTTGGACTCGTCGAACCTGAGCTGGAATGCTCGGACAATACCAAGCATGCCGCACGCCGCTAGATGGTTTTCCGTGTCACCAGTTGCATCGGCTTTGATCTGAACGTCGTGTGAGACGTGCTCTGCAAGTTTGTACTCCTGAAGCATCGTCAGAGCAGCGCTAAACAGTACCTGCAGCTGCAATGCACTACTAGCCGTATTTTCATGCTGATAAATGCTGCTGAGATAAGTCATAGTCGCTTCGAAGATGCTATGACAGACCTCGGCGGTAAGCTCCCGACGTAACATCATCTCCCAGAACACCTCAGTTGACCCCCAGTCCTCTGGTGCTTTCGGCAGCCCAGCAGTCCGTTCTGCGAAACCTTGGTACCAATTACAGGTGGAGGTCATTGTATGCTGTCTAAGTCTGTCGCGCCTATCAATGACGCCAGACAGTGCAGGAATGATTCTTGGACTGGCGAGATAGGCAAAAAGGAGCCTAGATCTTGCCACAGGCTCTGAGGTAGCAGCGGCGTACCCTGAAGGCGACCTGAATTCAGGTCGGCTGCTGAGGTCCATCTGCCATCGAGCCACCTGCTGCCTCCATAACATGCTCTGGCTTGATTGATGGGCGCTTGCCACTGGTGCATTCGAGTCTTGACGAGCGAGGTTCTCAGGCCCCAGACTTCCCAAGTCTTCTGATGTAGAAGCCTGGCCACTCGCATGGCCTCTTTGTTCATTCTTGCGCTGCCGTCGAGGAGCATTCCTCCGAAGCTGCCACTTGCCCAAGTGGTCTTTGATGGGTTTCTCGCTAGACACGGGCTCAGCCGTGGGAGTCTCAATGGGGCAAAGGAAACGGATACTCACCTTGTTCTGTATCCCTTGCTCTCCAGATCGATTGCGATCCGGCGTACAGTAAAGTTTCGTCCGTGAAGGTCAGCGATACAAGGCTTCAGCTCCTCCCATTGCTCTCGTGTAAGTCGTGATGCAGTCGCATCTCTGCTTGCCATTCTGCAATCCGTGTTGCCTGCAATTCCAGATGATGTTGTCTTCACCGCGAACATGTTCAGGATGCGGCTTCAAAGCAGGCTTGTCTGGGGGTACAGCACGCAGATCATGTCTTGATGAACTTAAGCTGCACGCTTGCTCCTTTGCTTATCAGCCCTTCATGCGCACATCTAACATCTTCATTGGTCTGGCTGCTACTCTGCCAGACATATGAGACAGATGCCAGCGCAGGCACGAGCTGCTGGCGAGAAGTGCATGCTCGCTGGAGTTCTGAAAGTGGCCTCATTCCCCTCCGCGCACGAGGCCGCATCCGGCTCAGGACAGAACTGCAGGACCATAATTGGGGGTGAAAGGCCGCGTGTGAGGATGATGAAGATGAAATGAAATGTGATGGTAAACTTCGATATAGTCGGGTTCGTCGGCTAGGAATCCTCCTTCACTTAAGCACACTGGCCAAGTCCATCAACGAATAATCTGGCTGTCCTGTGGGCGACCGGCACTGTTGTCGATATGGCCTGTTCTCAACACGTTTGCCCCAGAAGGGATGAGACCGATGTTACCAACGCGTGTCGTGATGCCGGCTTGCAAGCAGTCCCCATGAAGGACTTCCTAACATATGTACATACGGCATCTGGCACGCCACACATCCATTGTGAACCTCGAAAGAGTCGACATCATGGTTTCGTCGCGTCCCAATCCATGAGCTCGAATGTAATGTGATTGATCTCCTAATCTAGCGCAAGAGTGGGTTGCGGCAGGAAATCTGTATAAACGGAGGGGAACCATGTACTGCCCAGCTCATTTTCTCTTTAGCCGGCTTAAAACGTCCTCTCAAGCCGACAATGCAGATTCTCATATTGTACGGAACCCTGGGAAAATGTTGTGAACATCTGGTCTCACATTCCTGCTAAGGTAGCACATGTCTCCTGACTTTCTTGACAAATCGAGCGATGATAACCGTATGCTCTTGCAACAGTACCAGAACAATGGTACAAGAGACGTTCTTTCGATGCATCGTCTTCATCATCCTCGCGCTGCTCTCCGTTTGCGAAAGCAACACTTCTGCTGGCCATCATGGTCATTGCTCAAGACCTGATACTGGGAGTCTGAATGGTCACCTAGTCTCTTTACGTCTCTTCTTTTATTTTCGGTCTTTCCGAGTTTCTTTCTCTTTCTGTGCTCATGTATGTTGCCGAGCCTGAAACCATTCTTGGCGCCTTGCCTCGCTTTCTCCCAGGTCCACGCTCGTGATCCGAACGGATTGTTCTCAAGGCCTAGCCACTAATGCGTGCTGGCCGTTTCAATGGCGCATTCCAAGAGGATCTCCCATCTCCGTATCCTGACCATTATGTCTTGTGGACGTTACCAGTCATGTACTTTATTCAAACCGTTCTCATGGAGGGCCACCGCGCTCGAGCTCGAGATCTCACTCTAGTGCTGCTGCTGTTGATGAGCGATTGCACATATTCCAACCATGCCGGCAGATAGGGAAGGCGGATCGACTGTGCTGTGTATGAATTCGGCCTTCGCGGTATGGCCGGTAGTGTTAGGTGGACTTTGCCCAGTAATGGGATTTCACCTTGCATAGAATGTGAGCAAAACACGTAAAGTGTCTATCAGTACGCGATAGCGATCGAGTAGTTGGTGATGAAATGGAGGAGCGTCTGTTGTATTATTAGAGTTCAACCCTGTCCTCGTCTAAAACGTGCCGGCCCGCTAGTGGCTGAAGCAGACCCACTCCTCGCCACTTCCCCGAGCCCCAGCTACCCGCCCGAGCCCCAGTAATACAGTGGATTATGGAATCCGCTGTTCCTAACAAAATCGCGTAGGGAAGCGATTTCCGGATCCCCGCAACCACTACCGACCGGGCAACTACTTCTATACTACTACTAGCTATAAAGCTAAAGTTTGTTAGCAAAGTAGTAGTATAGCAAAATTAAAAGTATTATTAGTTGCTATCTACTCTACTTAGGTCTAAGCGGATTACGACCTGCAGCCTCACAACTACGTAATACTATATATACTAGCTTATATTAGTCCCTTATTTACTAACTAGCCTACTACTGTGTATAATACTGCTGCTAAGTAAACTAATAGTACTATTATTATAGTACCTAGTAGTAAAGTAGCCGTCCTATTAGCTATATAAGCGACTATTGTTATTACTACTACTAGTACTAGTAGTGTTGCTAAGTAGCCTATCGTTATTACTATTTAAATAATACTACCTACTATCGGCTATATTTAATCTATTGCTAAGTACGCTATTCTTTACGCGCTCGAAGGTTATTAACCTCTTACCGTAGACGGTCTAGCTTAGAAGGAGGTTGTAGTTTAACTAGAAGTGCTTCTTACCGTAGATTATAATAGTTAAAGCCTATAGGGTAATAGGTAGGTCTATAGGCACGGTTAGCCTTCTAGTAAGGGTATAACTAAGTACGGCATTAGCTCTTAACGCACTTATAGTAAGCAATAGTAGTCCTTAACTAAGTAAGAGACATGCCTAGCTCTAATATAAAGTCTACGGTCCTTACTATTGCTATCTTCTACTTCTTAGCTACTACTATCTTATTCAAGTCGTCTAGTTCTCGAGCCGTTGCTATACGCTTTATTATATATAACGTCGCTCTACTAGTAAGAGGTTTACGGTTGCTATAGATTACCTATAGCTCTTAAATATAGTACGAGTCGAGGAGCCGTACCTTTCGGAAGTCGATAAACTAGTAAGCGTAGAAGTAAGAAGGTAATAGTACTACGCGGCTACCCTCTATCTCTAAAAGCTTTATAATATCGTAAAGATATAGATAGCTATAAGTCTTAGACAGGTAGTCGTTATAGCGGCACTATAGACAAGAATACGAGTAAGCCGAGTGCTTAATCTCGTTGCTATTAGCATTAACTATAGTCTTTAAAAGCGAGTTAGTACGCGAGTATAGAGCCTATACCTCGAGAAGGCAATAGTCGCTAATAACTCGAGTTATAGAAGACTAGAATATACCGATTAAGGCCTTAGAATAGCGCTTTAGGTTATTAGCGAGTATAGTACGGCGGCGGTCGTAGCCTTAGTACTACTAGTTAAGAAGCGACTCGAAGAGGGTAAAGATATCGTATCGACTACTATAGTTTAACTACTTCTTAATCCGACCGTAGGTTGCCTCGACTCGTAATGTTGTTTTATAGCTAAAGTGTATTACTTAGTTAGTCTAGAAGTAGACAATCCTCTCCTTATAATACTACTAGTTATTATTTAGATAGGACTTGAACTATAGAAACACATTGTCTAGCTTATAAGCCTTATCGTTAAATTCTTCCTCGGTCTAACTCTAGACTATATAAGTAAACAACTTTATAAACTAAGTAGTCCTTAGACTATTAGTCTACGAGCTATCGTTAGCCTTAACTTATATAAAGTCGCCTCGTTCTTTATATACTCGAGTTAATATATCTTATTATAGGCACTAGTCGTAGACGATATTCTTAGATTCTAGATATACCTCGTTAATCGCTAATATAAGAGCCGCTTTACAGTTAGTACTAAAGACAATAGGTAGTAGACAACTATACTTCTCGAAGCTATTCCGGATAGACTATAATAGCTATATAAAGGCCGCTTTGTTAGGCTTCGGTTTAATAAGCCTAATACCGAGTTTAATCGTATTATTTATCGGTCTAGCGGCTATAATATCTAGCAACTCGAGGTTATATAAATTAGTGCTATAAGTCGTATCTAAACAGATAATATATAGCGTATCTTTATAGGTAGAGAGCGACCGTAGATAGAGGGCAACTATTAACCGAATTGCACTATTCTTAGGATTAGTTGTTATCTCGTAGAAGATTAAATTCTCGTCTAGTAACTTTACTATTCTCTCGGCCTAGTATTAGCTAGTAACCGGCCCTACACCTATAGGCCAGTTTTGAGCCTATATAAGAGGCCTTCTTCTATAGAGTAGACAGATTATTAACCTCGTATAGCATATTGTTTATATTACACTTCTATAATGCCTATGTTATAGGGCTCTAGTTATTAGCCTAAGCGACAGTCTCGTCATCCTATCTTGCTAAACATAGCTGCCTATATTGCTATAGGTTATGTTACCCTCGGTAGCCTGTACTATTGCTATAAGTAGTAGTAGTAGTATTAGTTTCCGTCCTTTACTAGTTTAACTCTCTTCGCGCGATAGTATTGCGGTTAAAAGCAATATTATATACATCGTATAGCTTTAGAACAACTCCCTGCTCTCTGAAATAGGCTATAATCTTCGAGGTTAGCATTTGTAACTACTATAATCGCTCTAGTTGCTTAAGGAATTAACAGATACGTATATTAGTTAATAAGACAACGTCGTTAGGTCTATAGTTATACTAGCAATATAGATCTTTAGAAGAATAGCGAATACACTACTAACCCTCTAGCTTACGAGGGTTAACCGTAACGGCGTAGAAATAGAACTTGTAGCCTATAAAGGGCTACGCCCTAGGTAGAAAGCGCTAGCCTTAGGCATTCGGCCTACGCGACTCTAACCTACTACTTAGCGCTTAGCGCACCGTATAAAACTATTCGGATTTACGTAGATAGACTTAGCTCTTTATCGAACCTATTAAGTCTTATATCTAGCATCTACGTACGCGTTACTTACCCGTAATATTAGGTTCGATCTTTAATATAAGAAACGCTAAGGTTTATTAGGAACCCGAGTAAGATAGTTAGGGGAACGCTGCCCCTACCGTACTAGAGATAACTAGGGACGAGATTTATTATACCTTCGAGAGTCTCTATACTAGATAGTAGACGATAGAAGCCTAGCTATAAGCTACTCGTTCTACGCTCTAATACGCGGAAGCGTCTCGCTAGCCCGGGCCTCTCGAAGCTAGTTTAGTACGAGACTAGTCTACGAACGAGATCCTAAAGGGACTACTAGAAACTCTCTCGGCTACCGGCTAAAACGTAACGGCGTCCCGCGAGTAGAAGCTACTATCGTAGGATAGGAAAGCCGAGTCGTTCCGAGACTACCTACTACGACTAAGAAGTTCGTACCGAGTTCGTTCCGGGCTAAAACTAAAGCTCTCCGAAGATTACTACTAGAATACCGTATACGATACCCTACCGGTAAAGGAACGCGCTAGGATACGCTACTTCTAGGAAAGAGGAAGCCTTACGAAAGGAAAGGACCCTAAAGCTTTCTTCTAGTAACTCGAGGACGTCTTCGCGGATAGTAACGAAGCTATAAAGGCGCTAGAGCAACTCTAAGCCCTAAGGCACTCCTAGGGACAACCTTAGTACGACTACTAGCTAGAATTCGACGGCCTCCTACTAAGCGTAGGCAGAGACCGTTAGACCGACGATACGAAAATCGGGTATTTAAAGAATACCTTCTCGAATACGGCTAAGACCTATACTACCGCTATACTAAAGATTAAGGATTACTACCTCTATACGGAGGAGGTCGAGCGGATTATAACGAACCTCGAGTCGATAGATTAGTTTAAATAGGCTACGAAACGCTAGTAAGAAAGGAAGAAAGAAGTAGCGAGTCCTACGGTCGTTATTCCCCCCTATACGGCCCCTACGGCGAACCCGAAGGTCGACTCTAATAGAGACGTAGTTATAAATCCCGCTTAAACTAACGCTTCCTATAGAAAGAACCGTAGAGCCTAACAATCGATAGTAGGGAAACCTAGGGCTAAATAGGTCGACTCTATAGAAAGAGAGAAGCGTAAGGAGAAAAGACTCTACTTCCGCTATAGAGCGAGCGGATACCGCATTCGAGATTGCCCGTACGCCCCGCCGGCTTAGCCTACTAAGATTAGTATCGCCTCCGTATAACCTATTCTAGAGGATATAGAAGAATAGTCGGACTTAAGCAGTTCCGACTCGGGAAAAGAGTAACTCTTACTCGTAGTTAGGAGTCGGGAGTAGATAGAGTATAGGTAAAGAAATAGGAAGAAGTTAAAAAGGATATAAACGGGAATCTTATATATACCGATATAGTCTTCGAAAATAACGTCGGAACTTCTACTCTTATTAACGAAGGATACTAGTATTACGCTACAATTAATATAGGCCTAGCTAAAGGCCTCGGACTTAGCTATATTAGCCGTAAGTCCTAAGAAGTAAAAGGAGCGTCGTCGGCAATATAGGACGCGAAAATTATAGGAGTCGTCGCCTTCTAAATAGAAATTAACGGATTCTAATAAACGGTATACGCTTACGTTATACCGGGATTAGCTTTTCCCCTTATCCTAGGGAACCTATAGAAGGTATATAATAAGGTTAGGACCGCGCCCGGAAAACGATAGTACTACTATAGAAGGGCTCGGTATTAGATTAAAGAAGGGCGCTATTACCGCAAGGTCGATACGAATAGGAATATCGCTACGATTAACGCTATAAGAAGCCTACTTACCGCGACAATTGCTAAGGATATTAAAAAGGCCCTAAAAACGAAGGAATACCCGACGATCGAGGAGCTAAAGAAGAAGCTACCCCTAGAGGTTCGCGATATAGCTACGCTGTTTTATTAAAGGGAAGCCGATAAGTTAGCGCCCTATCGTCTAAGTATCGACTATACGATAGAACTCTAAG